ACATTAAGTTTTGTGCATTAGTCATCATTATGACAGTTGCCAGAGCATAGACTGGGTTGGTTGGTCTGCACAGTTCTCGTAATTCAACGTCAGGTGGTTTTCCTATCATGGATGATTCTAAGCTTTTTAAACATAGAAATACGCTTACGTAATAACTGACTACTTATGACGTGATTAGCTTTTGTGGTACTGCTGAATCGAAAGAGAATGGAGCAGGATGCTCTAGTCTTCGTGTCACATACAAAGAGTGCGGCAATCCACACTCTTCTGAGAGAGCACTTTTAACAGGCTTTAGGTTTGTGCCATCAGCGGCACTATACACAATGGCGTTCTGAATACACTGAATTCTTTTCAACAGTTTCCACGATATACGGTCGTCTACTTTTTCAATTTCAGGATTATTTTCAACACTGATTAGGTATTTTCATGGTAATTAATCGTAAGTAGTCTGAGTGCAACTAAGTACCATCTGACTGCTCTTAAAATAGCAGCTGATGAAAGTACTGTGGTTTGCATCAAAGTTGTTAAGGCCAACACTGTTGCATGTAGACTTGTTTTAAGTGTTTATTGGGTGGTCTGTCAGTAAGTACTTAGTTGGAGAAAGGGACTTACAATTTGTGAGCCGCTATACAGGGTGTCTGTTTGTACGTTTGTTGAGTGTTTGTTGTCAGCTACACTCATTAAAAGGTGCTCGTAATAAGTGACACTTTGTTGGGTAACAAGAAGTAACAAACGATGTTGATTCAAATGGTTTATGCTTGATTTTAAGTATATTTGACAGCTAAACACGAGACATCGAGAGGTCATGCTCAAGTGCTTGGTGCAGGGAGTAGCGAGTACTATGTTGATTATGATATACTCTGCATATATTAATGATCTTAAAGAAGCGAATTGGGCAAAACGCAAGGTAGTAAGGGTATGAAGTTGAATGCTAAGGTAAGGTCTTAAATCAATAAAAACCGTTGTTGAGTATAATATTTTCCATTAACAGACATGTTTAAGTTCCAGTGACAAAACTAGAGACAGATAGGAGGGGAAACCACATGATGAACTACCATGCGTCAAGGAACTCACATGTCTTATTGCCTTGCATCGTCGACCCCCAAATCTCTGTTTCAATATGTATTGTGTTTATCTATCGGTTTGCTGTAAAATCACATTCAATTTGTCTTAGTTTCTGGGTCTTCGTCACTTCTCTCGTTCCATTCGATTTTTTTCCTAAATGTATTAAACTTTGTCTTGTGGTGGTCGACATAATAGGCTACCGAATTCTTGATCACTTTGGTTTAGGCTGGTTGATTCGCAAGGGAAAAAAGCATGGGTAATTAGTTGGTATGATCTTTTACTGTTGCTATCATGCTATTGGTTGTGTGATTATTCAGCTTTTATACGAGTATTTTGCTGTTGTTAAGTTGCTATTTAATGAAAAAAACTGGATAGATATTTCCTCATACTTTGGTTTGAAAGTCACCCATCGATTAGGAGGAACAGCTCATTTCATTAACAATAACTAATTTTTTTCTTAACAACTTTGCGATTAAATGTGTCCTTTACAGCAGTGTGCACATTTTTTTGAATATCTCTGTAGTTGTTTAGACATTAAAGGCGAAGAATGGATTTGTAAAATCTCAGCGAATAAATTTGAAGTAAATTAATTTGTATAAAGACGTTCATAAGTAATATTCATATGTAAATAGTTGTTTTTAACTTGCACAACACTCTTCTTTTGACACATTGGTATCCAAAGACTAACGCTTTTTATGCTGCCAATGTCTGACGGAATACTTGAAACATTTTAGTCCTAGAGATGGTTGGTTGGTGTCGTCAATCGCAAATCAAAATTTGCACAGAGAGTTCTCTATTCTTATCAATGGCTTTGTTCAGTTCTATATTTTCAGTACGATATGGAATTCTTAGCACGAATATTCCGGGGGGTTTCTTTTAGAACCAAACAAAATCGACAACAAACATACCGAGGTGATATGAGTTGATAAACATTTAGAATCAAATGAAAGTTTTTTACGAAAATGAGAATATGTACAACTACTTGTGAGAAATGTTTTTAAGAATACATGATTCTAAATAACTGCGCTTGTATGACCGGTTCGTCACATAATGCATTTGCCATATCCGGCATTGTAGATCTTTTACATCCTTGTTTGTATCAGTGGATTCCAATGTTTCGACGTTTCGTTCTACCTGAAGACATAAAGAAAACGATGTAAATGAAGTTAATGATTAGTATCTGATAGCTTTTTACAAGAGTTTGCAAGATATTAGGTGCCTGTTTATAATCATATTCATAATGACTTCAAAAAACTCACCCTACCGCCTACTTTCAGAACTCTCCACTATCCAGTAAAAACTTTTTCCCAAATCGCGGGAAATAATAACGATGTACAATGAGGAATGGTTGATAATATATAAGATTTTACAGATCGTAAAATTGAATGCTGTGCAATTCCATGTAGCTTATTTATGTGATAAATCAAACGGAACATTTTCTGCTATATAGATAAAACGAAAGAAAACCAAGAGAGAGAAGAAGAAAAACTTACACCGAGACCAGTAATCTTTAACTCTGTTTTACTACGAAATTTCCAATGGTACTGGTTTCCTGAAATTTCAGACAAGGTATTAAGTGCTGTTCACATCTCACGCTAAAATTAACAGTTTGGCATTTATAAGGACCTAGCTTAGGACCAACAACAATAAAAAACTGTTCAATGAGCGATAGGATTTCATCCAATGCAACAAGATTTAGGTAAGCAGAAATAGTTGCACATAAAATGATAATAATCAACATATTTAGTAATATTATTTTTCTTCAGATGACAGATCGTAAGAAACAAGGAAAGAAAAGATGAACGAACAGCCACTTCTGTCGAGTCTCATTGAGTCAGCAAAGATTTTGAATACTTTCCTTTAAGCTCAGTATACTATCCACTTCCATTTAGGTAAAAACATTGCCAACTGGTAATCCAGATGTCGATATTAACTCTGGAAAACTAATGGTGGTTTTGAAAGATTCGAAGGATGAAGTATAGTCTAGAAATGCAAATTGAACAAAGTTCGTGCCCTTTTCCAAGCTGAACACTATATCGAGATACAGAACAATAGCAGGATCTAATGTAATTCCTTTGAATTGGCAAACAAACTGGTATGGATCTATGTGCTTTCTGAATGCAGACCAAAGTGGGAGTGGTGAAAGCTTTACCATAGTTTTGAGGAAAGTTTAAGTCAGAGAAAGGAAACTTTTTAAAGATTTTCTAATGTGGTTGTGAATTTTATTGGAAAGCACTGATGAAAATGTAAAACTCCTACTTAGTTGTGGAGGAAATATACTCTCTGTACCTAAAAGGCGGTTTATATGTGACGTTTCCTTATAAGTGACACTCATATTTATGTAGTATTTAACTATGGAGTTATAGTGCTGTGGTTAAAGTAGAAGCGAATTATCACTGCCCTCAAACGAATCTAAAGGACACAAACACTGACAAAACAGATTGAATGTGTTTAGAGTAATCTATATGGGAATGCTTGAGGTGTAAGTATATTCAGTCATAAAAATACATCAATCGGAATTTAAAAAACGACAACTAGACACTTACGGACTTTCTAACTATAAATTCTTACAGGCGTTGTTTGGTGCTTAGGTATAAGAACTTACTAGATAGTCGAAAATTGTTTTCCGGGATGCCAATAAACATTGTACTTTTATTTATTTAGTTGAGCTGAAAAATAAGACTTAATATGTTTCAATATTTTTGTTACTAGAACAGAGCTTATATTATAAACTACTGTTATTTGTGATAAAAGATGATTTTAAGAAGCGCAAATATTTCAAATATTAACATCAAACTGCCATCGTATATTTCAGAGCCCACGACTACTAAAAAGTCATAACACATGACGCAGGCATAAATATTCAGTCCATCTCTCTATCCTAGTATAAGGGATTCGGCTGCGAGTGTCCAGCAGGCCCAGTAACTCTTACTCAATTGACCTGTTCTCATGCATATGACACTTGGCTATTATGACCCTGTCAGCAAACACCCTGAATGATGAAATATCCCGGTCATCGGATTATTCTGTGTGAAGCTTGTAAGTTTTTTAATACCTGGCTTCAACAAATTACTGTGTAACTTGAAGGATACTATTTAAGTTAAAAGAAGGTATGATTAAAACTAACACATTAAGGTCATGGAACAAATCATTTACTTTTGTAAAACAATGCGCCTGAATTGAGGTGCCATTAAAGCTTAGTAGTAGGTAAATTTTAAATGGTTTCTAAGAACGAAAGACCATGGAAGTAGAAGATTTGTTGCAAGTCAAACAGTTGTTCTCAGTAGTCCTACTTACTAATGAATCCAGGATTTTTTTGAAAAATATGATAACTCTTTGTTCGATGAATTGTGAGTTTTCCATGGGCTTTTAAATCTACGAGAGACTAGTGATTTTCAAGAGTTGAAAATTATTTCGATGAATGCAAGCTCTTTTCTAGGAGAGTTGAATCCAAATATGCTAAGACTACGTAACACTATTTACTAAAACTTGAAAGAGCAAAATATGAGTTGTGACTATCAGCACCTTTCGTAAAATACTTAAGGCAGGCGACTTTAATCCAGATTTAAAAAACTTGGCTTTGTATTCATCAACATGTTTGGAGGTATTGTGATTTTGTTGCAGCATCCAGTCAAACAACAAAATAAGCATCGAAAGTGGTTCTGAAGTACCTAGAGTTTTTGTCCATAGTAGCACCGTCAATACTGTTGTAATAATCTTTCAGTAATATTCACATTATCAGAGCAATATTAGGTTAGAATTAGTTGGCTAACAACTAACTACATTCTGAAAATGTGTAAAACACCCAAAACCGTTTGAAACAAGAGTATACTTGTTTATTGGTTCAAGTATATATTTATTGTACATTTCGTTTGCTTTTGGTGCAGTGTCACAACACCATAACCACCAATGATATTGTTTTGTTTGTATGTATCACTTGTTCGTGTTTCAGCTTCAAGCGGTCATTTGAGTCTGTATTAGCAGTGTGTGTATTGTTATGATTGGACTTGCTTCTTAAATATTCATTTTCCCATTCTAGTACAGTATGTCTCAGCTTGACAGCTGAAATTTGTAACAAGTAGTAGATTTATTAGGAAAAAATATTTTATAGTTTCATGTTGACCAATACAGTAAGTTAGTTGCTACTAACTTACACATACTAGTATGTGTATCATACGATTAAGAAATGTATTCTTATTATATCTGTGTTATACGCTGCATTTCTTTTCGAAAAGAGGGTGTATCAGTGCATCCACGGTCGTCAGGTCTATTGAAATCTGCGTCTACTATTCGTATGCCTATCTGCTTTTTCACCTATCAGACATCTATAACATGTTCATCATTTTCTTGCTTTTTTTCCTTAAATTTTATATGCATAATCACTTCATATAGTCCTCATAGGTTATTTCGAGTTTAATGTCTATTTTTTAATCAATTACTCAAGTGCTGTTTAGCGTTTTACTAGTTTGCTCTAATCTTATTTAATAAAACTGACAAGTTTCATGTCTATACGTTTTCTGGTGAAATAAAATCTCACGAAACGAACTACACACTGTGAGTTTATAATCCGACTCTTCATGGAGGTGTTGATTGTCTTGAATTACCGTGTCTGACCCTTTGCATATATCAGCACCTCAAATATGAGAGACGTTGGAAATGCTTGAAGATTGTGATATCTCATCGTGGGCTGATAATTTGGTCACCACTTTAGAATGTCGTACTGTAAACGTTAAAAATGGTCGTCAACCTCATTCAGATTCCTGACAGGTAATAAAATACTTGGCTTTTGTTAGTTCAAGGTGCGTTTCAGAGTAAATTTTTTATTTATAACTTATCTATGGTAGATGGCATTTCATTTAACCTTCTCTAATAGTTTCTTTTTGATGTATATCATGAATGTAGCTTTTCTATACAATAATATCAGTTCTCTTTTCAGATATCACGTATAGGAAATACTTTCTATTGCAAGTTCGCTGATCAGCACTATTGTAGAAAATATGCTTTCGTAATTTTCCTCTTTAATGGTATAGTTTGAAGATCATTTAAGACGTATCTTCCATAAAAATATCCGTATCGTATGTTATTGTAGGTTTTACATTTATGGTATTATTTTGGAATTTTAATACTTTCTAAACGGATATTAGTAATTATTGCGATTATTTTTACAATTTTACTAGGCATTTAGAGGATGCTTTATATAGTTATCGCTACTGCAATTGTCGTTATTGGATTCTGTATTTACAAACGTAAATCTAATAAAGTCACATTTCCTCTTGACTGCTTTTTAAATGAGCAGTCTGCAGCTATCGATTACGAAGTACGTTTACCTGATTTCCCTGGTGTTGTATGTTTATTTTTCAAGGATAACCTTATATTGTATAGTTTGGTCACTGACTAAATCATCGGTTATTGTCCTGTTTATAAATAAACATCATGAAACATGTTTTTATCGTTTAAGTTGGTGGTTTATGAAGATATTTATGATTTGAAAGTGGTTTTCTATCACCAGTCGGCTTCATCTGGGAAAATATATAGCTGTGAATCAGTGTAAAGCTGTTTCATCAATTCTCTGCATAAAGTAAGTCTTCCTAATTCCTGGTTTGAGGCCATAACCTGTGCATTCAACTGCGTCTAAGTTGAGGGAGATTTTCATCATTAACATTTAATCATGTTCATTCTGATCTAATATTTTTTGAACTGCTAGGTTTTTACACCATGTTGAGTGCAAAACCTCAATTTTCGCACTTGAACATTTAAAGGAGTTTGAGGTGTTTATCATATTTTAAGATAAAAAATAACAGTTTCAGAGTTAATTGTCACGAAAGTTATCTGAAGTAATCTTTTAGGGAAATACTATGTCCCGGTTACTTGAGTGTAGTGTGACTGATCATAATTCATCCGTAAGAGTTGATGACTGACTTCTTGTTTTAAATAGAACTTTTATATAATGCTAATCATTATGTCAACCCTTTTAGGATGCTCGTATAAAAAGCATTTTTGAGAATGATTGAATCCGTGCAAATGTCTCGAAATTTTCCTAAACACGCTCATCTTATTAATGATTCCTCTTTTTACAAAATAGGGAAACACTCGCACATCCGTTACTTATTCTACCATTCCAGAAGTATGTGCCAATTTGTCTACTGTTTGTGAAGTGTTTCTATCTGGGTTGAATTTTTCAAGTAAGTTATTCATTTTAGCCACTAGATCTTATGAGCACATTCTCGCTGTAGATAAACAATCATATTCACAAGTGATGTGTATTCTGGTTACTTATTTAGATATTTTGGCTAATTCATTAGTATATGGTTGTAGGTCTCCTCGAATCATGCCTTATATACGGTGAAATCGCTGGGTAAAATATCTTGAGTTTCGATGTTGGGTCTTATTCAATAAATGGTAAATCTATAGATGAAACTATGAACCTCCACTAACCTTGATGATTAGGATGTATATTACACAGCTCCATCCTCTTAGAGCTACGCATTACGTTAGTTATTTAAATTAATGTAGTGAAAGAAAGCTAGTCCGGATAAATAAGCTCATCAAATCACCCCATAAAATCAAACTGTTAACCCGAGCCATGTTCAAAGGTTTAGACTAAATTAATGGAAATTTCTTACTCTAGTGCATTTTGTTACGTATAAATTGTATTGTGCAAGCTTATAAACTGCATTTTAATAAAATAACGTCATTTTAAAGGATGTAATATTCCATCCTTTTAAATGAAGATTTTTCGACTACTGTCTATCTAGTATATTCAGACTTTTTAATGTTAGTTCATCTACCACCAGTTGCTTTGCTGTTATTTTTCTAAATGCACTTTCTTACCTTCATTCTCATACGCTAATTTTTTTAAATCGTTATTCTCGTCTTCTAAATATTAGGAAATTCAGCTTGTTTGGGTTGGCGCGAATACTGTGAGCAGGATTACAAGTGGATTACATATAAACAAGTAAACTGAGTCACATTTTTTATTATCCTTAATCCTTATCGGCATAGCTTTTGTCGGCAGTATCGCTTTAATTTTATATCTTGTTGAAAACACACGGTAGCTTACACTTTCTCAGTCACTCACCCACTTCCGAGTGAAATATGCCACACATTAACCAGTGAACAAGTGTTAAAGACGAAGTAAGTATGAAGCACAGATCCTCATTACTTTAGGGTTATGTATGGTTGTTCCTAATTATTGAACTGAAAATTCTTGGTAGCATATTTATAGGACACAAATTCGCATAAAGCCAATGAGTAATCTAATTTGTTAATGTGAAGGGCGACCCAAATATCTGTATCCATTGATGGCTATTCGGTTTCAGCAGTTGTTCACTTCGTCCCAGAGATCTACATAGCACTACGAAATTAGAGTCAAGCGCGTTACATTATATTATTAGCTGATTCCCATGCAAACGCCTATGTAGGTTTAGAGTAAGTCAAAATCAAGGAACTAAGGAGAACTATAATGCGAATACTGAGCTTAATTCGACAATGTTTAACTGAATTTTAGTTCACTGTTGAAATGGGAAAACAGTGGTAAAGTAACGTACTTAGGGTTGAACTAAATGAATCTACAATTACTATCAGTGCACATATCTAGCATTATCAGTCAGTCAGTCAATAACAACGTAGAACTTCGTACGTACGTACGTACATCAGTTCGAGTACCTACCGTTATATGTAAACTTTTATGAAATAGGAATCGTGGATATGAAGTTTGAAAGTGATTTGAACACGCGGCCATCAGTCCGTTCTATGTTAGTAGGAAAAATGATAATATCTAGAGGTATTTTTTTTCTTACATCAAATTTCTAGTGCATAAGAATTCATAACAAAAAGACGTAATTTTCCGTTATCACCCTTTCGATTTTTTAAGTAATAACTATGACTGTCAGCTGAAAACCTAAATTATACTTTTCTCAATCACTTTCATATACTTGTACCAGTTTTACTTAAACAGTAAATGCCAACCCAGTAATAATATCAAGTCATTTTCTTCTTCAAAATATTGTTATCCCGTATTATGCATCTATGTCGTTACTGTTACCATTAGAATATATTAGTGTTTATCAATAAGCAGTATAGGTTTTTGTTGATATGAGACTTTCTTTTTATTCTTCAGATGTACTTTAATGAGGCTTTATCTTTGCCATAATTTCTATTTCTTATATAGGTGAATGATAAAATCGGTGTTATACGATCCGCTCTACATGCTTTAAAAACCAGAGGTTCGTATGAAAACCTCTTCGTTGGTATTTCATCAAAAAATTCACCACAGGTAAGTCACTTTAATGTCTACTTCTCATATCGTGGAATAACAACTGAATGTTTGTCTACTCAGAGTTTATTCACTGAGTAACACATTTCTTTCTTAGAATGGCAGGTCTGTGGATTTACTCAGTTTTAAAGATAGTTCACAACGCGGTTCGAAATTAGCTGAGACAATGATTGGAAACCAGGGAGCATTATTTAGACGTCTCGTTTTATTATGAGGTCTTTTACTAATGCATACTCACGACCTCTCCAGATGTCAAACGTAGACCAGTTATCACAGAAAAATACTGAGTGTTAATCAAGGTTGTAAACATAGACCATTGGATGCCAATTTACTGGTTCATTAGTAACAAGGCCTGAAGATTCTCGATTCGTTTCTTTTCGAAGTTGCAGCTGTACATTTCCAATGTATTTTGTGCAAAGACAAAACACCTCTCTAGCGCCTACTGATTTTCAATAGTTGTTTGGCTAAGGTAAATTTACAATGAAAACTTACGTTCTCCTACAAGATAGGTTTTCTATAGGTTGTTACATATGTAAAGACTGTCTCACTACTTATGTGAAAATACTAAATAAAATTTTATGTCTTTTGAAACCTAGATATCTGTTGAACTGAATTTTGCTAGTTTTAGAGGGTTATATCAATTTGTGCAAATGATAAAATCCCAAAGAAGTTAAAAAAAACTACATCTATGCTAAACAAAAGTTAGCTTAAGTTTTTAGTTATCACAACCATGGTCTAATGATGAATTGGAGATATTACACCAATCAGGCAGATAATTTCATAACTTTTCATTTAACGATAGTATCACATCCAATTGCCTTGGTTTACCAATGACATAATTCATTAACGCGACGGAAAGACTAGTGAATCTTCTGAAAACAAAATGTCTTTGAACAACACATTAAGAATGTTGGTACCGTTTTCTTCCCAGCCTCCTCATGTTTGGAATATTTAAGTCCCCAGATAAATTTTTTCTTGGTGTCCACTGACATCCCACATTTTAAATATATTTGGTTAGATATTTCTCAAACGTGAATAGTGTCATGTTACTTCTCTTACTTTTGGCAAACAAAACCCCGATTTCAGGTACCAGGTTTACCGCTGCATTATGACCGCCTAATGTGGTAACTCGTTACGTATTAGTCAAGCTTCATCTGCAACCATAATTAAAAAATCATATCATGATTTTTATGCTGGTCTGGGTTGTACTGAATACCGTAACGGGGTCGAGTAGCTGCTGAGTACTGCTGTAATGGTGGGCTCTTTGAACTAGATGAATACCATTACAAAGTGACAAATACCAAATACAGTTGTTCATTTAATTACCCGAACTTAAAGTTTAGTGTGTTATCGTTGAGCATTCTAATCCACTCATCATTTCATTTTTACATATTAGTCACCTTTTTTTATTGTGAAGAACATAAAGATATCAAATGTATTTACTTAGAATATCTCAATATGAATTAAAGTTTTTACACAATAATTTACTCCATGTACTTACTATTCTTTTTTATTATTTATGCGTTTCATTATCTGAATTTTTGTGCTGCTTATTAATGTGACATTTTGAAACACTAAACATTCTTATGCAAGCCAACTGATCTTAGTAATTGTGGCAAATTTTGATCATGAATGTGAATCTATGTTCAAATATTATTTTTAGGGGATTCACGTGTTTTATTTTTCAAATGCAACTAATTTTAATTTTACAATACCGCATGTAGAATTAACATTTGGAAAGGTATAGAAAGTGACTGGTTTTCTCATATTCTCAGTCAAAGTATGCTTTTGTTTTCTAACAGATTAACTATTTTCTTCCAAGCAAATTAATCATAATTTGATAAAAACATTATTCTATTGTTGATAAGTCGTTTAAAGTGGCGTAATTAACTAATAAAAGTGAGGCGCAACTGATTTACTTTACAATCAATATGACTCGGCTTTTTTATTAATTGACAGTGGCGACAGTTTGAAAGAAGCATGTGACTAATTCGCATAATGTTCTTTAAATGGATACTTCACTGCATTTATTTCCAGTTGACAGCTTAAACACTTGATTATTCAATTACTTAACTAATCTGGTATGCATCTCCTATTATGATATGAATGTGATACTGTAGACGTAAATTCGTGTTTAGACGTTATGATTAGACTGTACGGGTTTTTGTTACTTTATCGCAACGAAAGCTAATATTATGTGCTAATTTACTCAGCTGCTTTAAATGTCAGCATGCTAGGTAGGCAAGTGTTGGGAATGAGATGGACAAAGACATAAATCTAAGTTTTAAACCTCTTTGATCTCGTTTTCGGGATATGTCTTTAAATCTGATTCCACATTCTTGCGCCTCAGTTAAGTCCTAAAATAACCTTCGTTATTTTGAATTACCCCCACTGAGACTAGGCTATAACTTATCATTCGGTTGCCCCTAAAAGGTAGAACGAGCCTGCTCTCCCTCTCGAAATGCTCACTCATGGCCTCGCATATACAGCCACTGCCAGGAAAGTCCTAATCATTGCCTTCTCACGGTGGGGGTATTGTTTACGAAATTGAGAGGACGAAAAGCGATTTTCCAGCTTTTTAACCGGGTTGGTGGTCACGGAGAGTCCACCTAGGGGAGTTGGAAAACCCTGATTCCAAGCCAATGGTGCACATGGACTCCAGGATTCTGAGAGAACAAATGGTGTATGAACCTATTGTTGGTGACCGGTACCATTGGACTGCATGTCCTATCGTTGCTCCACTGCCTTGAGGATTAGACCTTTAGGTCAAAGGCTCGGAGTGTGACTCTAAGAAAACTATTTACTTTAGTTTGGGCATCCGGGCAGTATCCCAGCCCATACACAAATCAATGATAACTACGTCTGGAAAATTTTCTATTGCTTCAACGCTTATCCAGACAAATCCTATTCTCAATCATTTGGTAACACTTATTTTTATTTCTTTTATACTACGTCACTTATATACTGCCCTTTATTCTCATTTTTATTTTTTTACTTCTAAACTTATACAGCAGCTTGCCTATGATGGAAACCCCGTCCTGTATAAACGACCTGAAGTCGCTGATACGTTGAAATTTGAATGCTGCCGCTGACTATGAATACTGACCCAGTCTTTCTGAAACCACGTATACCATTTAAACTGGCATCCTTCAACGTTCACACACTAATGCAGATCGGATGACCGATAGGGTTGGCTATGTCTTTAGAAAGTTTCAACATCGATATCTGTTGTCTATCTGAGACTCGTATTCAAGACTAGTGAAATACTACAAATTCGCTCTCCATCTGTCACTTCGAGAAGCTTGTTTCATGTGCGTTTTTCCGCGGACACTGGCTTCTTCGTGTGGTTTCGCTGGCGTTGGTGTCGCACTAAGCGCTAGGGCTGAAGCAGCACTGATCTATTAGATCTCCATTAACAGTTGTTTATGTGCTGTTAGATTTGAAAGCTCCATCAAAATGCGAAGAAATCGATGTGATAAACGATGTCTTTTCAACATCACCTATGCAGTCCGTATGCGATCAAGGATAAGTTCTATCGCCAGTTAATTGTTCTTCTACAGAAAGTGCTTTCGACAGATATCATAGCTCTAACCGAAGACTTAAATACTCAGGTCAGGCATCTAGGTACCGAAGAGAGTCGCTTGGGTAGCTAATGGGGACTTGTTAGTCGCAGGTCAGATAACGGTGATCGTCTACTACAACCTGTTACTGGCTAAAACTAACCACCGGTACAGCCATCGCCGATGTGCTACCTGACTGAGTTGTTTACGAAGGTCTTTGTCGCAACTAAATATCAAACCGAGCTAGGTTCAAGGCTAGTTACCAGCCCACCGAAAAGTAAAGATGAGCTTTGGTTGCAATTGCATGACGCTAGTAAAATGGTGAGTAAAGTCTCTCGCAACTTCGCGAAATGTCCCGCTTATGAACACTGAGTTTCTTTAGGCTCCTTACAACTCATTGACACCCGCCGGTCTACTCTGAATGACCTCGAGTTTGACCACAAACGAAGACTGTTATCTGATGAATTTGAGTAAAGCTTGTTTAAAGACCGAGAAGCCTGTTGATCGGAGCGTGCTAATGAGCTGGAAGCAGCAGATGCATTTGGTAACTACCGGAAGCTCTTCCAACTCATCCGAGCCGTTGGCAGCAAGAAGTCTGGTGTGAGCGAAACAATCTGTGAGGATGACGGGATGCCAGTCACTAACATCCATCGACGTCTTGGATGATGGACAGGGTTTTTCGAGGATTAGTTCAGCTAGTCTACCACCCCAGCAACAATGATCAGACTGTCCTGCCCTCCATGATTGATGATGACTGACCCACCTAACGAGGAGGAATTCCGCAATGAACTCCAAATCTTGGAGCGCCACAAGTTGTCAGGCCTATATTACTTACCTCTAGCCCTTTTCAAAAATAATGACCTTCTGAGTTGTTTACAAAGGTCTTGAAATTGGAGAGTGTCCCAACATCGTGGGATAAGTCAATAGTTGTCTATATTTTTCAAAGAAGGATCACTTCGTTTCTTCAATAACTATCGGGGAATAAATCTACTTCCGATTGCGTACAAACTATTGGCCTCCGTCGTACTTTGTAGATTGTTGAAAACCCGAGAAAGATTGTCTTGCGAGAACCAGGTTGGTTTACGTTCTGGTCGAGGATTTATTGATCACATCTTCACTCTGTCCCAAAGTTTAGAACACCGTCATAATTATTACAGGTCAACTATCGTAGTGTTTCTTGACATTAGGGCCTCCTTCACTTCGTTGGACGGGACCATTCTCTGGGATTGTCTATTGAAGAAGTATTTGTTTAAGAAGTTTATTCACACCGTAAGAGCCCTATATACAAGCACTTCAGGTAGATTGGCGGCATACAACCACCTTTCTCCATTGTTCTATTCAAGCAGTGGGGTTAGAGAGGTTCAAACAATTTCACCATTCTTCTTCAACTTTGCCATCGATGGGGTTCTGGGAACAGTTCTCATGGATGTAGGGAATGGTGGTGTAGATCTGTCACCTGGAAAACGACTCTTTGACCTTGAGTGTGTGGATGATATTGTCTTACTGTGTGATGGTATCCATGCTATGCAGTCCGCACTTAATCAGTCGGCAGTTAGTGTCCGTACATATGACATGTGGTTTACACCTTTTAAGTGCAAAATACTTTTACAAGACTGGCATCACCCTCTTTGTTTGATCATCGCTCTCCTATGGATTTCCGACATTCAAGGGCAACACCATGTTAGTAATACAGAGGTTCGGCATCTTGTGTTCGGGCACAGCGACGATAACTCAATTAGTGTCACTATCTTGAAACATTGAGTTCGGTGGCCTGGACATGTTCTACGAATGTCGTCCCGGAGAATCCTTCGTCGTGCATTATTTGCCGACGCTGGGACTGGTCAGAAAATGCGGAGAGGTGGTCAGTGTTATGACGTGGTGTCGTGGTACGAACGAACGCTGTACGGGACTGGCTCCTGTTTGTCCTTCATGAATCTGTGGTTGGGATCCTAGAGATGGTGCAACACAGTGGCTAGAGACGTTATCAGATATGGCTCAGAATAATAGCCAGTGGTGACTCTGCTGTAACTTTCTTTATAAAAGTGAACGTAACTTTAAGAGAAAGAATTCTTTTTGGTTGTATTTTTGTTGACTGAACTGTTTCTCACTTATTATTATTATTATTATTATTATTATTATTATTACTACCACTCTTATTAGTTATTATTGTCACCATTACTGTTATTATTATTATTACCACTTTTACTTTTGTTACTATTATGTTTATTATTATTATTAGTTCTAACAAATAAGAAGAAGCTACATCAAAAATAAAATCATGGTCACCAGTTTGCTGGCTGCATATATATATATATATATATATATATATATATATATATATATATAATATGAGATGGGACAGTTCATAAACCGGTTACGTATAAAGTCATATAGAGTGAATTTTTACGAACAAGAACGAAATTAAGAAGTTAGGAGGAACATTTTGGTAAATCACAGTAGCGTGGAATAAAGATTTCCTAAGTGAATCTAACTGGATTCTGCTATTCCGACTATGGATAGTTTGTAGCATCAATTACAGTTATCAATCATAAACTTTGTATGTTCGGTTAGCTACCATTCAAAATAATATAAACTCTCAGTTCTAAAACTCGGCTTTTTATTGTGTGTCTACTATGGAGCTCGTATTATGGTTCATCCACTCTAGTAGCTAGATTAGGTCCTATCTATTATTTTCGTAAGCACTCAGCTGGTATCATCTTCATCGCAAAATGTAGCTGAAAATCTCGTTAATCTGAACGTCACGTTCTTAAATTTATATTGTTCCTTGAAGTAGATGTAGACCGAGGGAACTCACTGGTGGTCATGCCAAAAATGGCACTAATGTATAATGTGACTAACCGTTCACATAAGTTTGCTATGGATATAATATAATATTTCATGAAACAGACTAAATCGTTTCCAAAACTTTTATTGATGAGGCTTTTATTCAACTAACATGGGAAAGATCCATTCATTTTTTTGTACCTGTCAAAGAATAGCGATTGAGGTATTTTGATCGCACCATTTTAATTATGCTGTCTACAATTTTTATGATTCCATTACTGAGGTCACCTTCACTGTGCTTTGAAATATCAAGACATAGATTGGTCCATTCACATCACTAACTGTTTCATCATTTTTTCAATGTTCATTGCTGAACACTAATCGTCTTTGTATGATTATGCAAGATGTAAACTTTTTAAAAGATATCTTCAATGTACTAACACTGGATACAAATTTTATTGTCTTCTGTCTGTTCGTTAGTGGATAATGGTCGAATTGGCTTGTACATTCTCTGGTTATACTATTGTACCATTGTATGATACTTTAGGCGAGGAAGCTATTTTAACTATACTTAAACAAAGTAAGAATGAAGGTTTTTTATCAGTTTATTTTTTTCCAATGGAGTTCAGTCATTTTTCAGTACAGTAACTCACCTTAAAACTTGGTTTTAGGGTTCGTTTCAGTCATTAATTTAGATAATTGTATCTATGACTAAGGAATACTAGATGACATAAATTGAAGTCTTTTTAAACGTGGTTGAATAATTAACAGTAATATCATTTAAGATATAGATACAAGTGTCCAGCACTCATATAATGTTTGTTCTTTGAATTATTTGATTTAGGCTGAACTATATTTATTAATGTCCAGTTTGATGAGTACCATTCAAACGAAGAACAATGAAAGGTTGAATTGGATTCAGACGCCCCACAATGGTAGTATTTCTCGACCTTAAGGCGGCATTCGACTCTGTTGATTGTGAGGTTCTATGGCAGTGTTTGTCACTGAAAGGAGTACCAAAGAAGTACATTAACCTTGTAAAGGCTCTCTACTCGAACGCAACTGGTCGAGTGAAAGCTTATGGCGAACTGTCATCAGAATTGATTACCTCAAGTGGTGTTCGTCAGGGCTGCCCACTCTCTCCATTCTTGTTCAACTTTGTCATTGACGTGCTTCTAGAGATAACACTTGCCTCGTCTAAATTTCCAGAGGTTGAACTTCTACCGGGAGGTTCACTTGTTGACTTGGAATATGCCGATGACAGAGTTCTATTTGGTGAAGACGCTGACAAAATGCCGAGTCTTCTGACCACTCTAAGCAACAATGCAAGCATGTTCGGCATATGATTCTCCCCCTCGAAATGTAAAATGTTGCTTCAGGATTGGGTTGCATTGACACCCGAACTAATGATAAGGAGTGAAGTAGTTGAGCGTGTCGACCGCTTCACTTATCTTGGAAGTCTCATCAGCCCTTGTGGTCTGGTGTGTGACGAAATCTCAGCACAGATACAGAAGGCTCGACTAGCTTCTGCCAACTTGCTTCATTTATGGAGTAGGCGAGATATCCGTCTATCAACCAAAGGACGTGTTTACTGCACAGCAGTTCGTTCCACCCTACTTTATCGCTGTGAAACATGGCCGGTAAGAGTAGAGGATATTCGTAGGTTACTAGTATTTGATCATAGGTAACTTCGAAACATTGCTCGTATATCCTCGGACCATCGAGTAAGTAACACAGTTGTTAGGAAACGGGTACTAGGTAAGGATGGCAATCAATTGATGAAGTGGTGAAACTTTATCAGTTGAAATGGCTGGGACACGTGTTACGTATGCCCAACGATCGACTACCTCGACGTGCTATGTTCAGTGGTATAGGAGTAGGTTGGAAGAAAGCTAGGGGCGGCCAGACCAAAACATGGCACAAGTCCATGAAGTCACTGACAAGTGAACTGAGTCATGTTGGTAGGTGTAGACTACCTGGTTGGGGACCACGAGATGATAGCAACCGATGGTTAGAGACCCTGAATGACATGGCTCAAAATCGTTTGCAATGGTGCAGGTGCATACACTCTTTGTGTTCTCCCAAATTTTGATCTGATTCCTCCTTGTTTCTTTTTTTCTCTTCCCAAATTTACTTCACTGTATTATACTCTTTAAATAACATCTCCAAACACTAATTTTCCTGATTACTGCTTATACTCTTATTACCTCTACCACTATGGGATTTGAATCGACAAGTGCATCTCTGTGCTAATGTGGTATGGCAACTCGAACTGATGTACGTACGTACGAAGTTCTACGTTGTTACTGACTGACTGATTGGATTCTATCTTTCTTCCTAATAAATGAAAGTCTGAATAGTGGGTTCCATCTCCAGAACAAATAAATAGTTCTTGGTGTCGTCACTACCGCGCAAAAAATTGTCGAAGAAGACAGCAGTTATTCTTCTTTCAGTTTCTCAAATCCAATATAGAGTTAGTGTTGACAAACACTCCATTAAGTGATGTATTCAAACCTCTGGATTGCGAGATGAAATTACGTCTCAAATTCTCGAATTAATAGCTTATTTTAACTTGGTTAGGTGGTATATCGATGGTGTACTAATTGTGAACGAATTGTAAACATAGCGATGACTAATCAAACATGTGAGGAGAATTGACCGCATTAGAAATAAACATTTTAGGACGTTCACCAATGCAGCTTTAATTAACTCAGCTACGTAGTTATATTAGTGTTTTTGAACAACTTATGCTAACGTAGGACCAATCAAAACATGCCATCTAATCGTTTTTCTGTTGTCTTTTGAAGTAGTTAACAATGAATATGTTTTGATTCTTCAGTAATAGTCTAAACGTTATCTTCCCATGTTCCTCCTGATCAATGTATATATATGTGATACTGCAGAGTCGCGACCGTGTTTGTTGTTGGTTTGTGTCCAGTCATTGTAAATTGATTTTTATTTCCGGATTATTCTTCACTGTCATATTAGCACGTTTTAGTGGAATGGGTCGGAGGTTTAAGTTCTTTTGGGCATTACCAGTAAATATTTAATTAGCTAGGATGCTTCAAACAATTATTTCGTCCTTCTGTTCATGGGGATTTGCGATTACATTATGTGTTTGCCACATGATAGTCTGTTCATTTTGTCCAAATAGTCTCTAAGTATGAAAATTGTCGTAATGTTTTTCTTTTTATTTCTAAAAGGTGCTTTAAAATTCATGATATAAAAATACCGAAACAGTTTTATAAAGTTGTGCGCTATTACCATCCAATCTACTGTTTAGATAATGAATGCACATACCAATTTGCACACGTTTGGTTCAAAAACATTAAACTAGTAACTAAAATCTAAAAGAATAGACTATTTGTCCCGGATTCCACTCTGTGTTAATAGACATTAACGTTTATGCATTTAATATTTCTATTGAACTAGTCCGCTAAGCTATGCTATATTAATTTAGAATTGCTTTCATATTCATTGTACAGAAGATTATATTTTTCCGATGAGTGGAGGTAAAATAGTTTTATTTACATTTATCAAAGTTCGTTGTTTCATATAATATTTACGGCCACTAATGGTAGAAGAGATTGAGCTCCTAGTGTTATATTAAAATAACCACTACGTGAAAAAGAAAACAGATAAAACGCCATTTGAAAAATCTTTATGTAAGTTTTTTTCTGTTGTATCGAAAAAATATTTCAAGCTGCTTCACTGATGACAACATTGAAGGAGGTTTTTCTATTGGTCAACAACAAAAGCTACCCATCTAAAATTATATTATTATAAGCATTAATTTTTAACTATGATTCTTTTGTAAAGTTTATGAACGACAGTAGAAACGTCCATTTTATTTAATCTCTGTAAAAATCTACATAGCTGAAAATTTATCAGATGATAGCAATATATTTCATTTAGATTACAAACACCTCTGGTAGAGTTATACATAAGCGTATATCGATAACATTAAATAAGCTCAGTGTTTATCAAGACCTATAATTAAAAGGGTTTTCCCGTAAAAATCAATGCGTCTATAGAAGCCACGAATACTGTAGTTAAGAGAAGTTAAATGAAAAGATAGTCTTCTCGAGAACAAACTATAATACTTTTTTAGGGTACTGAAATATTTTCGAACATTAAACTAATGCTCATTCATACCATTTAAATTAAAATCGAGATACATACTATTATCACTCAGTAATGACTCGTACGATTCAATAAATACGTTAGAGGTTTTCCCTTTTTTATTTCATTTAAACCATTCTGATCAGAAGTAAGGTAATTCTTTCTTTCATTCCATTTTATAAAGTCATTAGACGTTTTAAAATATCCACTTAATGATAGACATATATCGCTTTATTATCAGAATGAGGGTTAGTGTAGATTGTAGTAATTTTAATAGTTGAATTCATGAGTCATTCTAAGCTAGACCACCGCTAGACGACCGTCCAGCGCTTGCAGGTTTTGAATGGTGGTCTAGCTTAGATCGACTCATGAATTCAACTATATATCGCTCTTTCATTTTTTAACCTTCAATCAACATCGTTATGATACATGTGGAGAAAACCAATGGATTAAAGATACAGTTTTCTTCCAGAAATGAATGAACAAGCTATTCACTTAAATCTTGTTTCAGCGATTATGAATTTTAATATGGTAATATGCTAACTTATTACTCTCACTCTATTCGTTCTAATCTTCATTTCCTATCTAGCTGAGCTTCCAATAATGTTTTGTGACTCAGTTGAAGTAGCACAACGTATTACTACATTCGCACCTGACACTTTACAACACATTATCTTATTTCCTAACTCGTCTACAAATGCAAAGTCTGCTTCTGTTTCATCAGTTAACAGTTTGGTAAAAATTTACGACTATGAAGAATTCCTAGTGAGTTTCATTTTCATATACATTTTAAACATGTTAGTAACATTTGTTAATTCGACCCGGTTGTTAAAAGACAGAATGAAACTAATCCTTCAGTGAACTGTACATTGTTAGTATTAATAATGTCGGGTTGCTTTTTTCATGTTCCGAGTTTTTTCTTATACTCACGACCAGTTTTTTTATCCTTATCTGTATATCATTTTTGATGTATTTTAGCTTTAAGCAGTAAACGGACGAATGTTAACCAGGGATGGACAGCCTTTTTAAAAATTGCTTATCCGAGTTTAACTATGAAAATTCTGGTACTTAATATAAACTTAGTTCTTCTGTTCATCAATCTGATCAGATGTGTTTTACTGTTAATTCGTAAATGAACTATTATGACAATGAATTTATCACTAGAATTGCCCTGAAACCTAGTTGATCATAATCAAATATTTGCTAAATACTTCAAAATAACAGAAAACCATGTTTTTTCGACTTAATTGACCGAGTATCAAACAAATCGTGGCTTACTAGTAAAGTAGCTAGTATTTCCATGTATTGACTGAAGTTTGATGTTCAGGTTCGTATCAATAGGCTGTCTTGCAATTAGGTTTCAAAACTTTAGAGCTCATATCAACAAGTTGTATCTGGAGGCTTGAGTAAATTGATTCTCACTACTAAATATTTATACTGATATTTGACTGAAATTTAAGAAACACTAGTATCAAATTCTAACTTACTAAAGCGCTTTATTACAAGTATTTTTTCGAAGCTGATAATTAGAATAAGTATGCAATAGGTTTTACAGTTTTTAATGACTACTTTTCAGTTATGATAATCGTGACCTTGTCAAGAAAATAAGTTAGTGTTTATTATTGGTCATTTATCAATCCTCTATATGTTCGCATATCTTTCCGGTTGGTCACAAATAACAACAAGATTAACTAAAACTAACCAATCTATAGACCGTCCATCATCTTATAACTATCACTTTTACTAGTATCATAGTTTTTTGTAGTTTGATGCATTCATACATTCTCCTTATTGTCACTGGTCATTGTTTTCTAATAATGTACGACCTCTTTCCTAGACACTTTATTTATTTATTGCTTGTCTATCTTTTTTTTGGGAAAAACAATCGAGAACAAATTAATACTAGTGTACTCGTACAGTATAACGTTGACTTAAGCATTAAAACACTCAACTAATAGAGAGCCTTATAACGTTAATAATATTTAAGCCCCTTAGAATCATCACAAGTCATAACTTGGTAACTCAATAACAGTAGGTTGTATCGACAGTAATAAGCGGATAATTATGATTCAGTCATGCCAGTTGTTTGTTTTCAGTACATAAATAGAACCACACAACAAAACATGAACAAAACACATGACTTCGCTTCATTCATTTACCTATTTCAATGATACTGACTAGCTAGGTTAAAGAGCAAGCATAACCCGTTTAAACTAGGTTTTTGAGACACCAAGATTTATAGGTAAACAAGATTTGATGTAACAGTTCTGTAACACAACAGTAAGCTTAATTAAAAGCTATGGTCAATGTGTCTAGTTTTTTTATGCAGTTGCTTATTGGTTAAAGCAATAGACTCATATTTTCTGTTTATTTTTATCTGAGAAACTAAATATATTCACTAGTTTTCACAGAAATAGGATATAAGCATCTGTACTTGACTAGTGAGTTGCAATAAATTAAATTAATACAGTTTATCATTCTACTAACACCGTTAGTCATTGATGTAACTAGACAATAAGGAAGCATAAAATGATTTAATTGGCAGATGTATTTTAGTTATTTCATTTATTGTCAGTTTAATGCTAGTATGTCTTGTCAACTTAAAACTTTGAGTTTAACATTATGTTCCCTTTAGTATTATCGAATAAAAATGAACATTAGTTACTCTTGAAGATACTCCTGTTATTATCAGATTGTGTTCAAGAGGACAGAATGTACTGCTTTATTTATTCTACACTGTTGGAAATTTTCGAATGCCATTTTTTTCATCAAACAATTAATTGAAAAGAATATACAAATGTGAGACTACAGGGATACTCCTCATTGATCTCAACTTTCATATTAACTTAAAGGAGAGAAAAAAATTTTCAGATATTAATTGTAATTTTTAAATGTTCATGAAACATTTTCATGTTTCTTCTTATTTGTTCATAAACATGACACTTTTTTAATATCTTCACTTAGCAAAGTATTTTTGTTTGGATACCTACAATTGATCAAAAAATGATAAATCCATTCGAATACGTGGAGTTTTTTTTAAAAAATATTGTGCCCAATACCATGAAAAAATTCGTAAGGCAAAAATCACTGTACAGTCTTACTGCTACTTTAATCCATCTTTAAGAGTTAAATTTATTTCAATTGAGTGAGTCATTGTCAGGTTTTATTATCATTGTTTAGAAAAAGTAGGCGAGGCTGAGCGACTGAAAGAGAAAAGTATTTTATAGTTTTCTTTATTTCTGATTGTCTCGCTTTTGACTACCAAACTCTGTTTACCTTTTGACCTTTTCTTATTTGCCATCGTCACACCACTTATTGGATTCTGCCCCAGTTTATTTTCACTTCACAATGGTTTGTTCTGTGAATCAATAAAAGAGATATATGGGTCAATGTTACCTATTTCTAATTATATTGCATTCACAAAAACGAATAAACAATTCATCTGTACCTAGTCAACGAAATTTCTTCATCCGAAGCAAAGTATCGGAACATTGTATCAATAAAACAGGTCGAACAAGGGGAAGAGTAGGAGTAGTATGCCAAAAAATATCACTATTGGAGCATTTCCTACACAGGCTTTACAATAAAGATTATTAGACGTTTGTAATAAGATCCCTTCCAACATTACTAGCTGATAACAATAACTATTTATCGAAAATAACGATAGAGAAAAATGAATGTTGCTATTATTATGGCATTGTAGAGAAAACTTTTATGTAACCGAAAAGTTAATCTAGAATTCCACAGAAACGAGTTAAGAATAATTAATATGATTTATAGCATAACACCCATCCAATAACCTGTTTACTTGGCTTCACATATGCAGATAAAAAAATAAACGTCAGTGATTGGATGAGAGAGGATATCATCTATGCATTTAGATAAGGAGGTACAGTTTTAGACAAGAACACTAAAATTAAACAATATCGGAACCACACCTAAACAGTTCATGATGTCTGTGTTGTAGACCAATTATTACAAGACTGGGAAAGAAAAATTGAGAACGAAGAGTGGAGCTGACATTGATTCAGATCACCACCTGGCAAATACCTCGATGAAACTAAATGTAATAATGCACTGGAAAACTGGGTAAACAGCATTACAAAGGTTTAATATAGCCTGCCTTCAAGATACTGATAGACTCTGCGAATTCAAGGTAGGTCTCAGGAACAGGTGTCAAGCCTTACAAGTGTTGTGCAGACCCTGAAAACTCTGGGAACCATATTTTCCACTAAGCATTCGATAGTTCTTCAAAAGCATCTGCAAAGTGAAAACTCACGCGTCACATTTCTGGTTGGACGCTTACCTATATTACTACTATGTTTATAAGGGTTCCAGAACTTCCCAAAAGCCCAGGCCATCTGAAATGCTATAAATATCCTTGGTTTTCTGTACATAAAATAACCTTGGAGTGAAGCGTTCTTTCCATATTTCGAGTCTGTTTCTCGTGTTCAAGTTGCCGTGTAGATTTAGCCTGGGTTTACTAGAAGAGCTTTGGAAAGCGAATCAAGCGTTCAGTTAGAAGATTTATCATAAACATCTACTCAAGGTAGAAGAAACCGCTATGGGAAACAACGGAAAAGGAACCAAACAAGCAGTAACTTAAACATGGTAGGACGTGCTATGCCCCCAACAAGCACCAGCCTAGAGAACGAATGTCTACTGATACCTTTGGCAAGATTCAAAAAAGCATGAAGAAGAAGGCAGTAATCAACTACAGCCGAGTAAGAGTAGAGAAAGCCAAGGCACAAACCGAATACACAGAAGCAAATAAACCAGTGATTACGACTATTAGAGCTGATAAGCGAAAAATGCTACAACAGAAAGAAAGTACAACGAAGAAGCTAGCTGGAAGATACGGTAAACCAGAAAGGTCAGTCGAGGAGAAAGAAGACAAGCCAGTCAGTGAGATTCAAGAACAGATTGGTAGAACAGATTTGAAGAGCTCTTGAATTGACCAGGTCCACTGAACCCAACGAACATCGAGGCAGCACACACAGACCTTCCTATATATTTCACCCTCACCAACAATCGGAAGAATCAGCATGTTCATCAGACAAATGAAGAGTGGGAAAGCAGTGAGAAATAGAAGTAACTGCAAACATGTTCACCGTTCTATTCAGGAAGATTTGGGAGTAAGAACAAGTGCCGATAAACTGGGTGCATGGATACTTCATCAAGATGCCAAAGAAAGATGAGCAAATGTGAGAACTATAGGGGCACCATGCTACTGTCAGTACAAGGAATGGTTTTCAACAGTGTTGTTGAACCATATGAAAGGCTCAGTAGATGTCCAGCCTCGAGATCAACAAACTGAATTCCGTAAGGGTCGGTCGTGCACAAACCATATCGCAACATTATTGAACAATCATTTGAATGGAACTCGCCACTATACATTAACTTCCTTTACTATGAGAAAGCATTTGACAGTGTAGATGGCAGAACGTTATGGAAACTTCGTTGACACTATGATGTATCTGAGAAGATCGTCAATATCATACGGAATTCACACGATGGACTACAGTACAAAGTGGTGGATGAAGGACAGCTCAAAAATGCATGTCAAGCGAGAACCGGTTTCAGACAGAGTTGCTTGCTCTCTGCCTTGCTCTTTCGTCGGATGGTTGACTAGATTATAGAGACCTACACATCTAAGAGGAAGCACGGAATTCAATGGACAGGTTGTATGTAACTAAACGATTTGGACTTCGCAGACGATTTAGCTCTTCTATCCCATGCACATCAACAAATGCAGGTCAGGACTAACAGTGTAGCAGTAGACCTCAATATACACAAGGGAAAAAGCAATATCCTCAAATTCAACACCGAACAATCACACTCGATGGAGAAACTCTAAGAGTGGTGGAAAATTTCACGTACCTGAGAAGCATCACCGATGGACAGGGAAGATCTGATGCAGATGTAAAGCTAAGGATTGACAAAGCATGGGAAGTATTTCCACAACTGAAGAACATATGGAACTCAAAACAACAAGTATTTCTAAACAATTATCTACGTAAGATACTCAATATCCGTTAGTCGGGTATCACCAGCAACAGCCTACTATGGGAGAGAACAAACCAGGTTCCAACTGAAGAGAAAATTAGGGGAAGACGTTGACAGTGAACAAGACAGTCATTGAGGAAATCATCACACATGTATCACGAGGCAAACGCTAACTTGAAATCCTGAAGGTGAAAGTAAAAGAGGAAGACCAGTGAACACATTGCATCCGGATTAGAAAACACATCCAAAGAATGAATCTTGCTTGAGAAAAACTGAGAAGAAGAGCCCAGAACATAGTTGGTTGCCTAATCCCGATCGGCGGCATATGCTCCTCCACGAGGGGTAACAGGCGTATGTAAGTGCGATGTGTTGACAAGTGTTTATCTTGTAATGGATTATCTTCCAAATCCCTTTTGAGGCTTCATGTATCAACTATCCTGATAACAATTATTAGGTAAATCTCAGTGGTGTGTAAATTGTAGAAAGCGACATGAAGCGTCGACCTTAGTCGATTACTGAATAGCTCAGATCACAAGCCACAAGCACACGAACGAAATCGAGCAGAAATGCTAATGAGTGAACAAGCGAATACACAGGCAATTTAAAAGTCATTTACTCATATTGGATCATTCAATTTTATTTGTTTTTGTAAACATTTAGTTGCCTTTCCCAGCCACATAGCTTGGTGGTGCCGATTGGCTTATCTGGACACATTGATGATATGGCACAACTACTGGGACTCAATAGCTGTCTATCCCTTGATCTTGTCTTTTCTTATTTCACATCCAGTTATTGTGGACCATTTATGAGTCATATAGCAATGATCATATGCTTTATGTTTTCTTTTCTTATTCTTGACGGTCGCCGAGACCCCAGGGTCTTTTGTTTGCCTATATTTCCTCTTTTCCTGCTAAAATTCTTTTATTTTTTGTAGATTGCATGTTTATATGTGTCTCATCAGTCATCCTTATGTTTTATTTTCTTCTGGATAATCTTCTATTGGACGTGCATATATGTTTTAACGATTTCTGTTCCTTTATTCCAATGATCACTTCTGAAGATACGATGTATCTCTTTATTGGGAGTAAAAAGTCGATTGCAGTTTCTACTTAAAAATGTGATTAATAGCTCTCGTTTTTCAACTATGGTGGGTTTATAATAATTATTAGCTTTAATTTATACGGACTGTTCAACTAGTTATTAGTTAGTTGTTTGTTAAGTGTCTGTAAATCTGCTGTATTTGTCTGATCCAACCTCTTCGTATGGGATTCTCGCACCAGAAGTTTGCATTCTATCTTGCTGTCAATCACCTTGCACATATTGTTGTTCTCTTTTGTGTTTGGCTGTTTGCCATGAGTTCGGTCAGTTTTGTCAGATTTTTTCAGTTAATGTTCTCTTTTAACTCATTTACTGCTTGTTTTTGCTTTTTATTTTTTATTTCTAAAATCACCCGTGTCGCAGTTTTTAACATTTTCTAGTTTCATTGAATCTTTTTCTGGACTATACTACTAAAATTTCAATGCTGGTTAATTGCTAACCGCGAGTTTACTCACAAAGTGACTATGACATTTTTGAAATTTTCTTGTATAATATACTTTCTAATTTAAATTTTAGGAGTTCAGTACTGGAGAACTCATTTGCACTGAAGTGAGTTTTTTTTCTAATAAGTATATATCGATTCATTTTTTTGTGGTATACCTCTTTCCTGGGTATTTTTTTTGCATTAAGAGTCATCTATACATTATTTTACAATTGTTTACCAACAACAGTTTATTTGAATCCATCGTTTTAAAGGTCTCGCTTTCATAAGTTCTTTCTCTTTCATGAGTAATCGTCAAATGACAATATTTATTGATAGGCATCATTTGGTTATACTTTCTGTGTCGTCGCAAGTAATTTTAAGATTTATTGCTGTCTTTAACTAGAGTATGACTATTTTTTAAAATCATTTGTATTTTCCTATCAAAAATTACTGTATTGGTTACTCAATCAAAATGGCCGTTTGTTTATCTCAATGAAAACGTAGATACTTGAGTGGCACGAAAGGATCTACGGGTTGACTAATGGTTAGCTTAAATTGTAAAGTTACGTCGTATACAGAAAGAAACCGACTGATGTTTTTAAGTCCATGCCACAAAATAACTAAAGATATCATTGCAGTTCGCCTTTGACTATTGACATAACATTACACTATGGTTTATAATCTATTTATCTATCGCAAGAATTTTTTGTCTCTTCACCGTCATACATTTATACTCGGGTAGGACAATTTACCATTCTATAATTACTTTTTTGCAAAAATTCCTGTAAACTAATTACAATGTCGATGTTATTTCAAACTAATCACCATTAACATTAATATATGAGGACTTTTTCTCATCTTATAAAAGCTGTTGTTTATTTCTGGGTTTTAGACTCCAAAACCTGAGAGTTTATTTATGGTTTGCTATACAAGTGGAAGTACAGGTTAGTTTAATGACGCTTTTGCGCAAAACATTCTCAATCATTACTTTATTTGATTATTTATTCCGAAACTAACAATTTAATTATGGGTTACTTGTTTATTAGTTGCAAATTCACCAGTGTTACACAGTTTGGCTAGTTGAAATTCACTGGATCGGAAAGTTCCAGCTATCTCAAAGTACTGAAGAGATTTCTATACGGTTAAGAAATCTCGAAAATAATTTTTATTGCTCTAAGGCTATTCTTGTGTTTTATCATTGAAAATTTGATTAATCTCGCAATACAAAAGTTAAAGAATTTAATTCAATTCGGTTATGTACTCGCTTTTGATGCACTTTTTGTAAAGGTAAATGGCACTAACCAGCTCTCACCGTTTACAAATTTCATGCAGTCTAGAAATACCCTGAAATGTTGTTGTGGTTGATGTTCTCAAGTACTTATTATTAGTGATATTAGTCATGCATCTACACTAAGAACACTTTTACCTTCTAATATTTGATCTTCAGTTTTTTGTCAATTTCAAATGATTAGTTTCTTTTCTAAACTCACATTTATGCTCAGGACGCTGTATTCTTGTATTCAAGTTATCAACTCAGACGGCGCGATGCATAAACGAAATTTCAAGGTATTCGTTGTACCAATTGCTTACTTGTAAAGTGACTATTAGAAATCATAAATAGCTGGTCTTTCGCACAGTAAGATACGTATTCACACGAGAAGCATCGGTTCTCTCAAGCTTTTGGGTATACCTTGCTGACGAATACGAGTTAGCAGAAAACTTGGGTCAGTGTTTTCCTTCTTACAAACCTTCTGACGATTTTTGGTGCCTTATCCAATTGAATAATAATTAAAAAAACCTCAAATTTCTTTGATACACAAAATCTGTCACGTCAAATGTAAACAACAGTAAAATTAGTTCATTTCAAGTTGAAGGAATGATATAAGTGCAGTGCATGGTGAAAAAGAGAATCGATCGACTTTTTTTCACATAAAAGTCGTATCTTTATTTGTAATTATCAAGTGCATCTATAGCATAAACCTAAATAAATGTAAACTGTCATGATCTCACAAAAGTTTAATTTCCTTAGTAAGGTATTTATTATTATTATTATTATTATTATTATTATTATTATTATTATTATTATAGGCATTCCCAAAGGGGTGAAAATCACACATCAATGTGTTGTAAAGACCATTCAAAGTTTATTTCAACGACTTGAAGGAGATGTGAGTGTAAAACATTAAGATTGTATTTATTCATTTTGTTTTACATCAAATAAATAGAAAAAAGCTTTTGTTTAGGTGATTTTCTTCTCTTGTATGAATGTAATAGCTCGTGAGATTAACCGTGAGACATGAGTCTGAGTATCGATTAATTCGCCCAGACTCTCTATGTGGTACCAATGACCTGCAATCGCCAATCTGTTCAAGTAGTTTTATATTTTGCAACGTAATTTTGAAAAAAATATCTTGAATTAAATCAGAATTGTCTCATATGTTTGCTTGACGTGTTATCAAAGGTTATGTTCATCAAACGAATAGCTATCAGGACTCAGCTAAGTAGATAATGCGATGGCATTTAAAGCGAACGGTACTGGGTCCGAGTCTCGGAAGGAACATCAACTCTGGAATGCAGGTACATCCAGCTGACGAGTCCCAAATAGGACGAAACGCGCGTCATGGATTCCACTGCTAGCCCCTATCCGTCTTCGCTCACCAGTATATTGGTTTTTCATGTTTCCAGCGTTCCAATTACTATTATTATCTTTTTTAATATTTTATGCATGATTGTTTCCCGTACAACAAGACAATGCTCGGTGAAATAAACACACCTGCCTTCATTTTAAATAATTGTTTCTTCATTTCACCGTGAAGGGGACTTCATTTCTGCTGTTTTTTGAGTTAAATGTGTAATTTTTACTATGACTACTGCGCTTTTTTAAAAATATGTTATTTGTGTTAGCACGCTTTTTGAGACACAGCACGGTATTCGATGATTAATTAACTATTGCTTTCAACCGCAAGTTAGATTGAAATGACAGGTGCTAGTATTTATCAGAAAATTTGCTATAAATATAATTTAGCATTCTGGTTATGAAACATCAATGATATCACTGAAGTCTCAGTGCTCAGATATGAAGTGCATCCCGTAGTTTCTATTTCGTTTGTAATTTAATGCTGAACTGTGATGTGTGCTACTTATGTCAACATAAGTAGTACATAACGCTAGTCAGGAGTAGAATGTCTGGTAGCATAAGGTCAAAAAGATCGAGGAGGAAAGAACGAGAACAGAAAGCAATTGGTATGGAAATGCAGGAACGATCAAGTCTGCGACAAATAATGAACGTTTTGTAAATGAATTATTTACTGTATAGTTCTCAGATTTTTCTAAGACGTTCTGTAATTTTGTGTCCCATTTGTGTTCTCGTTGACTACAAACTACGTTAAGAAGCAGTCGTATAACTTTTTTCCTCATTTACTAAGAAGTATCTATCATCGGAATTAGTAGTCATTTTAACTTTTTTTGGTACTTCGACTTCTGGTGGTTTGGCTTTTATTCACTGAGCTTTCATCTAATATATTTCAAGTTTGTAACCTGCTCCACAAACAACATCTGAGTATAATCAAAATCATCAAACAAACTGACATCTCTGTTTATTTATTTTTGTTCTCTTTAAATGTTATGGAATAATCAACTTATTTTGCAAAACCGACGCTATGTTAAACAGTCATCTTCTCTAGTAGTCACTTAATGACTCCTTTTTATACTTGATCTTGCACTATCATGTTTTAATAAAATTACAATTCATGGTATTTTGTTTATTAACAGATCTTTAATAATACTGCTTCACATCTATCTTATTTACCTTTGGCTCATATAATGGAACAAATGATTTCTGTAAGTTAGTAGAAGTTAAACCTGCAATCTTTTTCTGTATGGATGTGTGATAAGTACGGTAGTTAAATATTTTTACCTTACCATACAAGTTCATGTGCAATGGAAAATCTGTTTAGATTTTTGGTCACTTGCATAGAGAAGCAACGTTGAACCAAGAACTGATTAACAAATTATTTTCATTTTCTATAAAATATTACCTGGTCGTTTCATAAGTTTCGCATTTATATTGAAGCCGTTTGGAAGAACAACGTAGATGTTTGTTTGTGGTGACCGTAATATAGACAAACATAAACAATTTAGGACTTGGTGCAAATGCGTCGTTCGTTCGTGTTACGACACATATCTATTCACTGGGGTAGAAAAGGCCTGAAAGAATGTAAATAAGGATACCGACAATCGAGAAGGAATAAATCAATCAAAGAAGGCATTAGCAGACTTTATATCACTGCGTGAACTATCTTTCGAATATTAGTTTATATTCCAATTTTGCCGTCAAAAGTTATAGTTTTCAGCTCGTTGCAAAGAACGTTTTAGTACCCAAGGTACTAATCAACCCTTCTTCGAATGAAAACTTATGTTCAGACAAAACTGATACGGTATATATTTGATGTTTTGTGAAGTTTACTGCACGACCTATTTCGTGATTTCTTCCCATAGGTTCTACAATCTGTCTAGCTCTACAAAATATTCCAAGTGACTTGTATGATCACTTTCCTGAATTCACTTTAAACGATCATCTTTATGGAAGTTTAGTAATTTTACAACCTTTTGTGTATTAATTCATGGAAGGCAGTTTTGTCTACGTAGTCTATGTAGATAGATTGCACGAATTTTTGGTTAGATAGATCATATATCGTTTATAATTGCACCAGTTAATTGAAAACCAAACAGCATTAGCAGACGTAACCTTAGAAAGACTTCTTCCAGCTCGCCTGGTAAGTGTTTGATGTGGTTGAACGGAATACCGGAGCCTGAGAATACTATTCCTATCCAGTCATTCCGAAACTGAACTCAGTTGAGAACGATTGTGTTTAAAATAGTTTATTACTCAAGAACTGAAATTGTAATGGGATACAATATGAATGTTCGCAATGCACAGTCACCTGATAGTAAAGTCTGTGAAGTTAGTTTAACAGTAAAGGCTCATGATAACTCTGAGCGTATTACTGCTCACTCTGCAACAAATCAGTCACACCCAACCACCAAGAAATTATGGTCAACCAACGTAGTTGCAGCACAACTAAACATGGGTCAGGTGCTGATCTCTTAACCCTTACTTTCCTTATCATTCATGATCACCTTAATTTTTGAGCTGTATTGGTAGGTGCAAACCACTTGGTTCAGGCTCGCATTATGATCGTGATCCGCAGTTGGAAAACATATCCGGTATATCTCAAAATCGGCCACAGTAACGCAAATGGATTCACTGTCTGTTTTCTAGATTTTAAGTTTCATTGTTATTTCATGCTTAATTCATGCCTTAGATCATATTCTTTACCTCCAGTTTTCTTTACTACCACTTTTCCAACTCATTTGTCAATTATGTTTTTAATTTCAACCCATTATCTTAAATAAGTGTAGCGGCTTGAGTCAATATACGTTTGTGCTAATTCTTACGTTGTTTATGACCGACTGAGAAATGGTCAGAATTACTATTATATCTCTATCATCTTATTGCTCCTAAGGTTAAAATGAAATTGTGAGTTATCCTAGGTGAAAAAACGTGATTTATCGTGTTAAAAGTCCTACTTTTCTGGCGTTAATGCCATGATAAAGTAGAAAAACATGATGCAACTGGTCATGGCCAATTCAAAAGTTGAATATTGACTAGATGTGCAAGTCGACTACTTTAATTTATGGTGTTTGTTTTAAAAAAATTGGACTTAAAATTGCTAATTAGCTCTTATTTTATTGGTGTCTATGATATTGATGACAGCTACCTAGAATATTTCTGATTGATAACACCAGTATATACCAATAATGATTATTAAAGCTAAGTGGAATTTTGAATCACACCACATAATTACTGGTTCACTAGTCTATCAACTATGAGTGTCGTTTGATGATAGAATTTCAGTTTGACATATTTTTATTACTTCGGGATCTTTAGACGATCTCTCTGTGTCACTAGTGATTGTCACTTTCTTGTTTGTTTTCTCTGCAAAGCTGTCTACTCTCTTGGTTGGCGCGAGAATCGGTTTTCTAACCAAGAATATTCAAGGATTACTAGCCGATTTACAAGCTGTCAAACCACATTTCTTTTTCACTGTTCCTCGTGTTTTATCTCGATTGTATTCCGTTGCAATGGAAAAGGTTTCATCTGTTCCTTTACTACCTAGCATATTCCATTATGCAGTTGAATCTAAAGTTGCAGAACAAGAAAAGTAAGTGAATAATTTACACTATCATTACAGTTAAACCGTAATCAATTTTGGGTATGCAAGTGATAGATCCAATGTCCTTTTCATCTTATTATTAGCGTTCTCCAATCTGCTTTTATTCTGTCTAAAGCTGAAGACTTCTCAGTTGTCTATGTGGTTATCTTGACAAGCTAGCTACTCGACTGTGTTCCATCTTCTATCATTTCTCTTCTATTATCAATCATAGTAGGCTTCTTTATGCTTCACTTGACAGATTGTCTACTAACAGATAGTGCAGTGAATTACTGTGAAATAATTGCCGTTTATTTCGTAAAAAAGTCATTTGCTACCTACCTCTAAATTGGTTTCATCAGCACATATTTCCGTGTATAGTAGTATTAAAGCACAGAACAAGTGAAAACTGTTGTGAATATAAATAAAAATTTACGATTAATCTATAATGTCTTGTTTTCTACAGTGATGAGTTGATCCGTTTTTTAATAGGATTTTATTCCAAATCTACATCGTCGTATAATTGTACATATCAACATTTATTATCTTGCTTGGTAGTGATCGATATTTCTATGAGTACTGACTATGAAATTTCAGATTTAAACAAAATGTGCTTTTTGAAAATCAGAGTAACCTTTCTGGTCAACATCAAAGACATCTGACGAGTATACAACGTATTGGTAACGGCAGTGCTGTTTTATCCTTGTGTAAACTAATCCTTCCTAGCTGAGGATATTCAACAGCGCACTGTTTCAATCATTTTTATTTTCAAAGGATTCCTCGTAGCCAGTGGAATCATTGAGTAAGCTATTCTGAGGTCTCGAGGTTAATGTTTTGATGTAGTAGCGGCAGTTTACCTAGTATAACTATCTCAAAACACTGGCGTTTTCAGCTCGAATATGTGTCACAAATTCTATTTCACTAACTTCCACATCGTGCATTATTTACCGATTGTGGGACAGAGAGGAAAGAGTGAAAATGAGCATATATAACATTATCTAGTAGTATGAAAGATGGCATATGTCGATTCAGCAAGACTTCATATTTTCAGATTGCTTATATTAAAAGATCACACTATTTGCATTCTGATCGTGTTAAATCTTTCATCGACTTCAATTAACTAGATATATATTTAACTCATAGAATACGTTATATATTCCCTTCATTAATCTAACTATTTAACTTGTGATTAGTTGTTAATTTGGTCGCTTTTGCCCAATAATATGATTTCCTTCCAACACTATATGTCGTCTTACGAATAAAACGCTTTTTTAACTATTGCTTTCAACCGCAAGTTAAATACTTCTTAGTACTTGTTAACTAAAATCTGAAAAATACTGGAACACCTCCCAATGATAAAAATTATTTTGTTTATGGTCACTTCATAGTGTATATTAGAAAATAACATGAATTCTTGTTTCATAATCGGATTAGCTGCTTTCAACTGCTTGCGTACTTATTGTTGTTTCTTCCCTTCTGCAGTCATCAAACACTAGGATAATAAGTATATACTGTTAAAATCTGTAAACGTTAACCATTTCTTTAACCCGTACATTTTTTTACCATTTATCAACCAAGTTTTTGTTTCTAACTAAACGGTTGGATTCATTAGGGTATAACAACTACTCTGTCGACAACAATTCCTTTGCACGTAAAGTCTTACATAATCGATTCGTGTTGGCCTTCGTCTTAAAAATACGATAGACCGAAATAAAAGCCGTTGTTGCTTAGCCGAATTCATGTTAGTATTTATAATGACTGAATACAATTCAGCAACTGCTCACTCATCAGATAGTGAAATAAAATTTGCTCGCCACCGTTTGTGTTTACAGGGAGTAGAACAGTGAACTATTAGTTTAGAGTTCAAATTCTCAAGCTGACCGTCAACCAGACTTCTTCAGAGCTTCAGTCAATCTCACTTAACTGCACTACACAATCTTCCAGTAAGATCAATTCAATATTCTGTTTTGTTGCAGTTTATGTAATTCGGAAATGATTTTTTTCATTGATCATATCCTGTAAAGAAGATATTCTTAAATTATAAAGCACTGTTTAACACCTAACCTAAAATTTGTAACTCCTGATGGCATCAGCTGCCGACTAGGAAGTTCCAAGTAACTGTGCCCTGAGCTATCCTTTCTAATTACTGTTAAGTGCTTTTCATGGTCTTGATATCTGCCTCCGATCTCCGTTGCCATCTATTTTAAGATCTGCATCTAGTCCTTGTTTACTGAAAATTTCGTGTTGGAGTCGGTCTTGTGATTCAGCTTATTATTTTCCGTAAAGTTGATGCTATCCACCTCCAGCGTCTTTTACTTGCAGCTGGTTTGTTCTCTGTCAGAGTAGATCGTTGCTGATGATCTCTGTCCTATTTTACTTGAATACTTTGCATAGACAGCTGTTTATGAATACCTGCAATTTATTAATGATGACTATGGTTGTGGTAGTTCTTCACATTTCAGCTCCGTGTTGTAAAACTGTTTTGAATTTAGTGTTGAAAATTTTGACCTTTTTGTTAGGTGATAGTTGTTTGACTTTCAGATCTTCATTCGTAGAGATGTTGCAATTACTTTAGAAATTTGTGTCTTGATACATACATCAGATGCCGATTAATGTAACAATTAGTCCCTTTGATAAATTTCGATAATGATATTAGAAGACGAAGATTATCACAACTATGTGATATATTAGCGCAATACATTTCGAACAATCTGGTCACACATACTTGTTAAGAGCATTTATATATAAAAATAAAAGGTCAACTAGACAGGAAACGGGGTAAGAGGAGATAAGGATAATGATAAGAGTAATAATAATAATAATAATGTGAACACAAAGCGAAACCTAATCACTCTGGATAATAAGTCAATATTACCAGGGTAGGTTTAAGGTAAGAACAAACTGTTTTTGAACACATAAAGGGGGTTTGAATTTTCGTATGGCTAAGGCTTCAATGAACCTTAGTATACGCCCTTTTACACTTTTATACAGCACTACAAAAGCTGCATTTAGATCAATCTTGTGACCTGTTTCAATTATATGTTTAGCAATAGAGGATGATGGATGTTTATCCTCTGCTCTTATTGGGTCACTTGATTGTATTTGTTTCTGAAGCCATTTGGGTACATGTTCACTCACCCTAATGTTGAGATCACGATTAGTCCTCCCTATGTATGTGTGACCACACACACATTTAAATTGGTAAACACAGTAGGATGTGACGCAATCGTTTCCATGTACTTTAGGTTTTGAATGAAGCATGCACCTTGTTCTTTCTTTGATGATGACCTTTGCTGCGCAATAGGTTTTATTGATGACCGATTTAAGTCGTTGTTTCAGTAAAAGGCTATTTGAATCACCTCTGAATGGTAAGGTGATGTAGACAGGCTTTTTCTCTACCGAGGCTACAGTAGGTCTCGCTGTACCATGGACTTTCCATCTATTTATGAATTTCAGAGGATAGCCATTTTCTATTAACGTTTTATTTAACAACTTAACATCGTCATCAATGGCGTCATTGGTACAAATACGGTCGTCTGTTGAAAAGACGCCTTATCAAACCACGTTTGTATTGCACAGGGCAATAACTATAATAACTAAGATATTGACCTATCCACGTTGGTTTTCTAAAAATAGATCGCTTTACTGAACCATCTACTCGTCTACTCAGGAGCATATCTAGGAAGGGAAGCTGATCGTTTTTCTCTACTCCACATGAGAGACTAATATGGTTTTGGAGAGTGTTGAGTTTATTTAATAAACCGTACATATCCTCTTTTTCTCACAAACAACTAAGATATCGTCCACATATCTCTTATAAAGTGACATGTTTCCGATTAATTCATCAGTCTGATTTTCAACATGTGCCATGAACACATCTGCTAGTAATGGTCCTAGCGGACTACTCATAGCAACTCCATCAATCTGACGAAAGTATTCACCTTCAAAAGTGAACTGAACTTTGTCAGTACATAGTAATAGTAAATCTTTAAGAAGTTTTACAGGTACACGTGATTGAAAATTGTTTTCAGATATGTAATCACATAATATATCAATGGTCTTTTTAAAGGTACATTCGTAAACAAGGAATTTACATCAAATGAACACATTGTCTTTTCCTTGATATTAATATCACCTAAATGATCGACCAGTTCAAAAGAATCCTTTAGAGAATACTTACATAGATGTCTTCGAATAGGGTCCAACAACTTTGTTAACCATTTAGCCAGGTTATGTATAGGCGATCTGCACATTGATAGAATTGGACGTAAAGGAACATTAGGTTTGTGAATTTTAGGCAGTCCATATAAATGAGGGTACTCGGAACCCATAGGTTTTAGAAAGTTAAATTTCCCTTTATTAATAACATTCATGAGAAGCAATTTTTCTAGGTTTGAATTTACTCTTCTTTCTAGTTTGCTGATACCTCCAAATTCAACATCATGCATAAATTTACTTTCATCTCTAAGGATAGATAACATCTTACTTTTATATTCACATTTATTCATGATAACTACGCCTGATCCTTTATCATGTTTTAACAAGACAATATCAGAGTTTGATCGTAGTTCTTTTAATGATTTAAAATGCTGAGAAGTTAATATGCTTCTCTGCTTCGGGCCAACACTATGATATTGGTGTGCTATATCCACTAGTTTAGCTTTACACCAGCTTTGATTATTTGAAGACGTAGGGGTTAGAGTACTCAGTTGATCATATAGATTTTCAAACTGGGCATTTATTTCCAATTCAGACATTTGCGTTATAGAGACGGAGAAACTAAAACCAAGAGAAAGGGCTTCCTTTTCATTAGCAGATAATACAATGAAGGATAAATTAGTGACATACTTTTCAGGATTTACTGGGACCAATGACGCCATTGATGACGATGTTAAGTTGTTAAATGAAACGTTAATAGAAAATGGCTATCCTCTGAAATTCATAAATAGATGGAAAGTCCATGGTACAGCGAGACCTACTGTAGCCTCGGTAGAGAAAAAGCCTGTCTACATCACCTTACCATTCAGAGGTGATTCAAATAGCCTTTTACTGAAACAACGACTTAAATCGGTCATCAATAAAACCTATTGCGCAGCAAAGGTCATCATCAAAGAAAGAACAAGGTGCATGCTTCATTCAAAACCTAAAGTACATGGAAACGATTGCGTCACATCCTACTGTGTTTACCAATTTAAATGTGTGTGTGGTCACACATACATAGGGAGGACTAATCGTGATCTCAACATTAGGGTGAGTGAACATGTACCCAAATGGCTTCAGAAACAAATACAATCAAGTGACCCAATAAGAGCAGAGGATAAACATCCATCATCCTCTATTGCTAAACATATAATTGAAACAGGTCACAAGATTGATCTAAATGCAGCTTTTGTAGTGCTGTATAAAAGTGTAAAAGGGCGTATACTAAGGTTCATTGAAGCCTTAGCCATACGAAAATTCAAACCCCCTTTATGTGTTCAAAAACAGTTTGTTCTTACCTTAAACCTACCCTGGTAATATTGACTTATTATCCAGAGTGATTAGGTTTCGCTTTGTGTTCACATTATTATTATTATTATTACTCTTATCATTATCCTTATCTCCTCTTACCCCGTTTCCTGTCTAGTTGACCTTTTATTTTTATATATAAATGCCGATTAATGTGTTAGCAAATTCCACAAGGTTTTTGTCCCCTTGCCGTCGGTTACTTCCTGATAATCAAGAAAGCTAATGTGTAACGTTAAATTGCAGCTAAATGATTGTTCGCTGATGATTGACAGTGTAGTAATTTGGTCGGTACATGATTGTCTAATAAATTTCTGTGATATTCTTATTGAAATGACAGGCGCCAGTTGTTACAAGTAAATTTGCTTTGAATACACTTAACCATCCATGCTGGTTATGAAACATCACCGACAACAATAAAGTCTCACTACTCAGATATGAATCGCGTTGAGAAGCAATCGCATAGCATTTATTTTTCGTATTCTCAAAATCATTTAAATTTATTTATTTGCAATTCATAGAAATTTAATTATATCTAGAAAAAGTCGATGAAATGAAATTTCTTTTAAAATGGGAGATTTTATTAATTTATTTACCGGGGTATCTTAATTTATTTTCGCAACGTATTAAGTTAGTACTTATGTACTCTAATTTGTTTCAAGGTAGTTGTGCGTACACCATTTAATATTGATACCCCATCACGTCATTCTCAGTAGTTATCACGAGATTCAAACCTGTGACATTTTATTTGAAAAGTAGGTGCTTAGGAATGAAGCCCCCTCTTTTAACATTACGATAAATGTGGTTCGCTGACTTGCATATTGGTAGAAGATAAGAGTTGGAATAGATGTTATTTTTATTTTTGTGGAGAAGTGACGTGATTCAATTGAGTTGAGAAAAACTATTCAATGATTACTTGAATAACTATTATGATTCATAAAACCACTGAGTGTGTAAAAATAAAAGTTATGTGAATAAGTTACATGTCTTTACGCGCCTAAATAGTAACCGTAATCCATCATCGTGACGTTACTTTACTGATGAAACAGAATCCTGCAATATATTGCCTTGTCTTCAGGAATTTTCTTGGTACCTTAGGTGGTCTATCGTCATTTTTTTACTATATGGTAATTTATTTTTCCGGGATTCAATCCTTTACAGTGAGATGAATTTGAAATAATAATGTAAAATGGTGATGTAAAATATAATAACAATAGGTTTTCAATTGGATATGAACTATTTCATAATGGTTAAGTAAATTTTCTTCTAACGGATTTTTCCATCATGAGGCAATTGAATTTTTCACACAGTCAAGACCGTCAGTTGATAGTTCTCTGATTTACTTGGATCGTGTCCATCATTGCATTTTAGAACGTAAGGTTAATATTGTCAGTTCTGATAAAACTAAGCAAGTGAGTATCATGTTCATTTAACTAATAGTAATAATAAAAAGAACTTTTTACTAGAAATTTTAAATAATCAAAAAATATTGCATTTGCCCATCATCATCATACGAAATCGAATGTCGTCGAAATGACTCTGTTATTATTGTGTTGATGAAAAACGTGCTTAGAAACATTTAATTACACAAAATGAAAAGTTCACATACTGAGATCTATCATCTAGTTCCATTTTTGTTTGTTCCTTGAAATATCTATCATGTTATTGTGGCGTTCAATATTGAAGTGAATAAAAACAACCTTGACCTTGAAAGATGAAAGTTTTGTGACCTTCAGAAGGACAACTTATGTTTAGTTTCACAAGTACGCCTATATCCTCGTTCTTTTTTAAATGTACTTTCATTACGATCTAAATAATCCAACAGTTCTTCGTTTAGTTGCTTAAAATTAAGTAAGAAAATCGATAGAGATCATTTCTGATAGATTCTTTACTTTATGTCTTTAAATTCTACTTACAAAGTAATCTAACTTGATGAAATTCAAGTAAGTGAACAAATAAAACCTCAACAAAATTTCGCGATTTCTATTTGACCAGACGCCAATACAAAATGATCAATTCGGTATGGAATATAAAGAAAGCATAAAGTTGACATCTAGATTTAGATGGTGGTTGGAGGTAGTCAACAGGAAACCCTGGACCCGGGTTTCGCGCTACTTGGCACTCGTCAGCAAGGTGTACCTGTAATCTTGAGGGAACTGGTGCTCCCTGGCGGATTTGATCTCGTGTCATCCAGCTTCACAGTCAGAGACGTTGCCACTGAGCTATCCGCCAGGGAGCACCAGTTCCCTCGATTAATACGTATTCGCTGGCTCTTTTTTCTGTGACTTACATCTTAATTCACTTTACAAATTTATCGTTGATCAAACTTTGCATCATATGACACGAGCTGTATTTTACAGAGTTATACACATAATAGTCGTTAAAGCCTTGTACAATTTTTCCAAACGGTTAAATAGTAAGATAAAATTATTGATTGAAACTCAGATTTGGATTCTCAAGATGCGTTATTTGAAAGAAACTTATGAGAATACTAGATTACTTATGTTGGTCAGTTTTAACGTCACACTATTTGTATTCCTTTTTTTCTCTAATCGTATCTCAAAATGCTCAATCCTTTCTGTCATGACTCTTGTTACTACCTATACAGAATTTGATTTGACAATTTTATCTTGATGTACTAATGGGGTATGGCAACTTAAACTGATGTACATATGTATCAGGTTGTTCATTGAGTTTAACTGACACTTTTACGTTTAATTTGTTATTACTTCAGAAATATATATGATAATTCAAGTATTTGGGACTTTATATTCTTCAATAAAATTAGACGAACTTTGGGTGGTCGTGTCAAAGTAATAGTCTCTGGTAGTGCACCCGTTGCAAGTGAAATTTTACGTTTTACACGGGGAGTTTTTGGCTGTCCAGTAAGTAAATGTTTGTTTTGATTATATATATATATATATATATATATATATATATATATATATATATAACACTTGAACACCCATGAACCTGGGTTTAATCAATAATGCTTTTTCGAAATCGGCGTTGTTTTCATACAATTGATTCTGTGGCATGAAGTTATTCAACAACTAAAATTAAACAGATTTATCATTCAAATAAAAAAGAACAGACAATCAGATAAAAACTAATCGTCTGTGTATCTGTACGTCTGATGTAAGTCACTATTATATTTCAGATCCACTGACATCCCCAAATTTCACTGACTCAGAATGATTTTGGTTTAAATTAGTTGTAACTGTCACTTTTATTTAAGTTATCTAAGACATATGGAAGCCACGCGAATAACAATGTTTTCAGATAGTGTTGCTACGTATACTAACTGTAGAAAGGAATTTACACTGAAGAAAACTCTAAGAAGAATTGTGAGTGTATATACTGAAGACATGGATGGTGGCTAGCAGTGGGATCCAGGACTCTCATTTCGTCCTGTTTGATACTCGTCAGGTGGATGTATCTGCATCACAAAGTTGGTGTTTACTCCGAGACTCGAACCCAATACCGTTCGCTTCAAACGCCATCGCGTTATGAGACTGTTCAATTGTAGTCCCAAACATCAGTGGGAAAACTCAAACAACCAGTACAAAAACAAATTGTATACTGAATAGCTATTCAGTGTCTGATAACTAGAATGAAATTTCTTATTCATTACATCGCTTTGCGATTTTCGAATTTGTAGTTGAAAATCAGATTTCTCAGTCGCGGATATACCTTTTCAGTGAGCCTCAATAAGCATGAAACTAAAATCTATAACATCTTGTCAGTCATCTTCAAAATCTAACATACGACCCTGTAATGTATCTGGTATTATTGAACGTACGCTAAGTAGAATAGGTTCTGCAGCACTCACAGTGAATCCATTAGCTTTCATTTCCAGCAATACAGGTTAAAATAGGGTCGTGATTTTTCTAGAAATTTCTATAAGTGTTGAAGCTAATTATTTGTAAAACTGTTACTTTCCGTAAAGTAGAACCTTGGTTCAATGATGTAGCTGTGACTTGTAATTATTTGATAACAGGTTTAAATGTTTCTGCTACACTAAATTCGATTTCCGTAGTAGAATATATGTTATCAGCAACACATTGATAGTATCTTTACTGCGTAGTGAATTTATCTACATTTTCTTGCTTGGCTTCAATAAATGGATATCTTCATACGCGAGTTTCATCCAATCAATAACTCCATCATGCTACCATAACATCACTTTGTGAACATATTTAGTGTCTAGTCAGTACTATCAGAATGAATTCAGGTTATAAACGGTGAATAAGAAGGCAATTTTATTGACTGATATATCTCATTCCTGTTTACATTTATTCTTAAGCACTGAAAAAATTCTTTTTGTTTGATCATTGTTATTCTTTAATGGATATGCCCATGGTAAACCCAAGATACAGATAGATGTACACATAGATAAATATAACGTTAATCGAGTCTAGATACTATGTTGAAATGAATGAGTGCACTTGAAATGTGACGAATTGGCGAATAAATATATATTCGATAATAAAAAGGGTAACTCACAGTGAATCGAAACACAGTTGAAATTCATGCCTAATATTCGGTTTAAGTGCTACTGTGGTGCGTGCTACTTATATTGATATAAGTAGTATATAACGTGAGTCAAAAGAACGTAATGTCTGGCAGCAGATGGAGAAGAGCGAGAAAACAATGGAATTTGTAAGAAATCTCATGAACAATGAAATGCGAGACAATGGATTGATGTTTGCAAAAGCAAAGGTCCGGTTTGACATGATAGAATGACATTTTGGAAATTAACGATTTACTATATGGTTTTTCTATTTTACCAAGTAATTCTGTAATTTGTCCTAAATACAATTTGGCTGTCCTCACCCGTGTTCTTCTTCACTACACTACTATTTGGTTCATGAAAACTTATTCCTAAAAATAACATCAGCCAATATATTAAATTTAGATGTCTTTCAACATAATACTATTTGAATTTCACTTAGAACAAAGTGCAGTGTCTGCTTCAGGATTATAAGATACATGTAATTCAAATTGGAGCTTCAACATACCAACTATTGATTAGACAACCGAATATTATCTATAGATCCTCTCGCACTAATCCAGAACATACATCCTTTGAGGATCAGTAAGTACGCCTGTATTTTGATGCTTTGATGATCCTGGGTCCATGAGATTCCCATCCTATAAGTGCGTTTTCGTGCTTCTTTGGACAGCATCAGAGCAACTCCCTGAGTGTGTGGAGCATTTTCCTCTTCGTGACCGCAGTACAGCAACATCTCTCACGTATCTATGCCTTTGCTGTCCAGCTTGGGTCCAATGGGTTTCGCTGATTCCGAGAACCGCCAAATTGTATCTCCTCATTTCCGTTGCTATTTGACTGATGCTCCCGGTCTCCCACATAGTCCGGACGTTCCATGTACCTATAAAAATTGTTGCTCTGGTTGTTAGAAGGGGTGTCAGCCTCGCGACTTACGAAGAATCTCGGCTTTCTTCATGAGGCGTCATCATTCTTCCTTCAACTCCCAGGGCAGAGTCTAAATGGTTAGTTTGTTTATTCTGGTTAGCGTTTTTTTAGCAAGGTTGTTTTCTAAGGGATAGGGTTGCCGACCTCATGCCTAACACTCCTTCTTTACCCGGTCTTGTGACCTGCCTGTATCCTTAGATGATATACAGGTGGAGTTATTTCGATAAATATGTTACATTGATGATTTCTACAAACTCACTATTTAATTAGGCATTAAAACATCCAAATATTAAGCATTGCTAACTAATAGATTTCACCTCCACTATATTCATCCACTGTGTGTGTAACCTATTCTTTTGATATAAATAATAATATATTATTTCTTTTTAAAAAATATATTTTTAATAGGTAATAGTCGGTTATGGTTTAAGTGAATCATGTGGCGTTATTACGCTTACACTGTTTGGTGATAAAACCCTGGATCATGTTGGTGCGCTTATCCCAGGAGTTTCGGCCAAACTGGTAGATGTACCGCATATGGGTATCAGCGTTGACAAGATGAAAATGGGTGAAGTAAGTATTCGTTATCTATTAATTGGTCAGTGGCTCAATCGGTAAACAAAGAATTTCACCCATAATATTTTCAATATTAGTTTATCTTCATTAGTGTAAAATATGAGAAGCGAATAAAATGTTTAAAATTAGGTTTCAACCGATAAATATCTGTCAGCCTGGTACTCTTCATAGGTTTCCTGCAGTTAAATTGTTACGTAATTGTTAGATGATAGGTTGTTTTATTTCTACAGGTTGTTGTATGAACATGATATTTGATCTAAGAATAATTACCTTCACAAACGATAGCAGTTAAAAAAAAGCCAGAGAGCTCAGTACTCAGGTTTTCATTCACTAGTGAAGTGTTTCATTTTATCTGTATCTTAGTTCAATATGTGACTAAATTAATCAACCTAATTTTCTCAACTGGACATGAAAGTGTCCGTATAACTGTTATGAAGATTCTCTATATCCAATGCAAATATCCAAATATTTAGGTTTAACTTGATTCAGCGAATGCTTATCCATTTAATAACCATTCAAAACTATGGACTTCCGTAGAAGAACTACATGGCTTTTTGTCTTTTATTAATTATAAAACATATGAATAATTCAGATTAATATGCGCGGAGAATTAATAAATTAATGGATTAAATTCGCTTGCTGGATATCAGTTTACAGTTTCACTCTTTATGTATCAACTTTATCTATCCTCAATGGTTCAGTATAGTAATAATATACGAAATACACTGCACCTAGTCCCGTCTGAGAATCAAGTTAGTATCACTAGCCCTCACACAAATGGTATAGCTCATAGTCGAGTACACAAACTTGTGTGTGATAAACGAGTGACTAGTATACGAGTAGTTGTGTCACTGTTCTTTTAAGAAAACTGGTTGATTTTCGGATATATTTTATAAGGGTACATTTGTTGCTAGTACTCATGATATCAGCAATTAATTTGCACTGCATCGGTTGATCGATGTTACTAATATCAATTAGTCAAAAATCGTCGCGTGCTGAAACACTTACTTATTAAGACTAAATATCGGATGTCAGTTCACTTATAGTTTCTTCTTGATTTCATTTCTCTTCCTATCAATTGTACAGATATGTGTTAAAGGTCTAAATTGTACTCAAGGGTATTACAGGGATGAAGAAAGCACAAAACAACTCATTGACAAAGATGGATGGTTGCATACTGGTGACATTGGCAGTTGGACAAAAGTATGTTCTCTAACTAATAAGAGGATTTTTAGTCTAGTGGTTTATCTTTGTACCCAACCTATCATCTTCAATAGACCATCAGTTATACTTAGATTGACTTTAGTTTTCCAAAACAATCAAAAACTCGTTATTGTCTGGGGAAAAATGAGTTCAGTTACATATTAACAGCGTACTAATCCTTTATTGTCCTTGATCCAAATAATTCTTGTTGAGTTATTCCGATATCGCTAAATCAAGTGCAGTTCGCGACGGTGCAATTGTTACAATTACTATCACCATACAATTTATTAATCAGTTAATGGGAAGTGATACTAACTAGAGACCATAGTAAAGGCTTTTATCGGATCCATGACCTATAAAGCTTTTAATCCCAAGCGCACCACATACTCCCAGGTATATTTAGTTGATGAATATCCACAAGCAAATAGACTTTACCTATGACTTTTTAAATGTTTGGGACGACCCAGTACTGAACCATGTGGCTTATAAGCTTTGAAATTGGCTTTTGATATCCTGTAGACAGGAAGTTGTTGATTATTGAACAAAAATATTGTCGCCTTCAAATTCCGCTCCCACTAGTAACATGATAATTATCAGTGGTATAAGTGTAACTTTAATTGACTATTGTTTGAATTTATCTCCAGTTGCTTTTATTTAACTGTGCAACATAAAATCTAATTCATTCGATTTACATACACTGAGGTTGGACCCACCTTACTCAAATATTAAACGGAATGATCAATATAGCCCTAGTTGTAACTTAATACTTCTTTTGATCACTGAATTTTAATAACGTACATAAACCTTCACTTGAAGCATACTGTACACATTTGATGTAGTGATTTAAATTCTCATTAAATCCAAAATCAACATTTCAACATGGCTGAATAAGAGTTCTGTGCGAAATTCTTTTTGGTCGTATTTACCTTTTACTATGACCTTGAAGACGTTCAAACCCACATTACCGGATAAAACGTTGAAATTACAGTTGCTTATGTTTCTAACTTCAGTGCTTTAGCTAGTAATTGTCTGATGCTCTGCAGTTCTTGATTTGTGTAATGAATTTGATGGTTTCTTCCATTGTTGGTCGGGTTCCAGGTATTAGCTTATATATATTTCTTTAAGCATTTTACGATAGCTCTCTGTGTGTTTAGGTAAGGGCTAAATGCTTGTATGCAATACTTCAGTTTTTATCAAGTGAACACCACAAAGTCAGGAATGGAAGCTCTGCGTAACGGCTATAAGTTTTCAAGACATTTACCATATATTGCATGGCAGTGCTCAGTAGTCTTCAAATATTGGGTGATATTGACTCCTGCATCATTTATTGTCTGAACAACGGGTAGCTCGACGTTGTTCGCTGTGTATGTATTTGTACCCTGGTGACCAATATACATCACAATACATTTGGAAACGTTTAGCTGCAAGTACCGAATTCTAAATCATTCAAATCGTTTCCATACGATTTTCTGTGGCTATGAACTGTCCTCTTAGTGTTATATCGCTCCCCGTATTTTGATATTCTCTGTGTGTAACAAGATCGATAATAATAGAAGGCTGAGAAGGTCATTTGCATATAGAGACAATAACGCTGGTCCCCAAACTACCATGGGAGATCCCACTAGGAACTTTTCATCCAGACAACTTGCGGTCAACAGATACCCTTTGTTGCTTTTGATTTTTGAGAACATACCAAATTTATTGTGCTTTTAGTTTTTCGAGATAATCATATTTTCATCTAGATAATTAAATTACGTTTTTGAAATCATTTTCCTGATTCTAGTCTACATCAATCAATTTGGAATATTCATTTCTTTATTCATCGTTATTCATGTATCTTTTGGTTATTGACTTCATTTTAAACAATTGGTTACTTTGTATATTGCAGGTTTTTTTTACATTTCCATTTATTTGTTTACCTATGTGATTTGTTTTTTGTTTTTTTAATTTCTAGGAAGGTTCTTTAAAAATTGTCGACAGGTGTAAAAACATATTTAAACTCTCACAAGGCGAGTATATTGCACCAGAAAGATTGGAAAATATCTACCAACTCAGTCCACTAGTTGAGCAAATCTTTGTTGATGGCAATTCACTCAACGATTTTCCAGTAGCTGTAGTTGTACCAAATATCAAAGAGTTGACTAAGCGCATAGTGGCTAAGGCGAATTTAAATGACCCATTGTTATTGAACGGTAATAAAGAAGAGACTGAGGTGTCTAAATACAATTTCAATGATTCTATTCCAATAGTAGATACGTCAACACTATGTTCACAGCCTGCAGCACGTAAAATTGTTGTTTCAGAATTAGAAAATTTAGGAAGGAAAAGAGGACTAAAAGGTTTTGAGATAGTAAGATTTTTGAAACAGTTTTTTTCAGAGGTTTTGGTCTTTTGCTTCTTTGCTATTTCAGTAAAATTTTTATGTATTATATTGTACTCGGACTGCTTTAGCTATTAACCTAAGGTCTTTGATTCTCAAACTCTAAGTCAAAATAATGAGTGGATTATGGAAGCAGTTTTTTAAGGGTTAGATTATACGCAAAATAGGTTTAGGTAAATGATATTAAAGTTGATATTTTATGTGGTAATCTTTCGGTCAGATTTAAGTGAGCATATTGCATTCTTTTCTAACCTTTTGTTAGTTTTTAAAAAACATTCGTTTTGAAGCTTTTTGGGACGTTCTCCGTCTTCTGAAGCGTTTTTCAAAGAATTACAGAGTGCACTCAGCGTCAACTTATTTCACTAGAAACAGTGCTAGAGATTGTAATCGGTATAGGGGTTACAGAACAAATTTAGTTTTGTTTACCTTTAATTTCGAATAGTGCATCTAGTAACTCTCCTCAGGAAACAAAGTCAATTTATTTTATTTATTACGATGTTAGATCAGCGAACGCTGTAAACATGAAATAAGCGACAGTTTTTCTAGTCTCTAGTATGATATTTGGGCAGATTTCTGCTTTCTTGTGTTGAATAATTTCTGGGAATCCTGCAAATAAACCAACGTAATGATTACTTTGAATATGTAGATTTGTACGTGTATTGTTTGACATAGAGATACCAACAAATCTGAACTTATATAATCTCGTCGATTTATTCCCGACTACTGAAGTGAGAAGTTATAATGTGATCTCGCTTCTCAATGTCCCTTTCAGCGAAGGAATAGATTAATTTATCTTCAGGAACAGGCTTGAGCAAAGCATTTAAACTGTACGGTACAGTAGTTTCCACTGTATTATTTCTCAAATGAAAGAAAGACAGTCAGAAATATTAATCCAATCACGCGGATGTATACTACAAGAAATAGGCTAAAGTGAACAAGGAATATCCTGAATGGTTGTTGGGAACTATTCTACCTATAGACATTTTACGGGATTTTTTTAATTAAAGACACTCTGACGTTCAGTCCAACTCTGCCTATAGCTCTTCTAGGGCTAATGCAGATCACAAGACCGGGTAAAGAAGGAGTGTTAGGCATGAGGTCGGCAACCCTATCCCTTAGAAAACAACCTTGCTAAAAAAACGCTAACCAGAATAAACAAACTAACCATTTAGACTCTGCCCTGGGAGTTGAAGGAAGAATGATGACGCCTCATGAAGAAAGCCGAGATTCTTCGTAAGTCGCGAGGCTGACACCCCTTCTAACAACCAGAGCAACAATTTTTATAGGTACATGGAACGTCCGGACTATGTGGGAGACCGGGAGCATCAGTCAAATAGCAACGGAAATGAGGAGATACAATTTGGCGGTTCTCGGAATCAGCGAAACCCATTGGACCCAAGCTGGACAGCAAAGGCATAGATACGTGAGAGATGTTGCTGTACTGCGGTCACGAAGAGGAAAATGCTCCACACACTCAGGGAGTTGCTCTGATGCTGTCCAAAGAAGCACGAAAACGCACTTATAGGATGGGAATCTCATGGACCCAGGATCATCAAAGCATCATTCAAAACAAAGAAGGCGGGAATTACAATGAATGTTATTCAATGTGATGTACACACTAATGATAACAATGACGACGATAAAGATCAGTTCTACGAGAGGCTGCAATGGATCATAGCGAAGTGCCCAGGAAAAGACCTGACCATCCTGATGGCAGATCTAAACGCCAAAGTCGGGATAAACACCAACGATTATGAAGATATCATGGGACGACACGGACTATGAGAAAGGAACGAGAATGGCAAGGGATTTGCAAATCTATGTGCATTCAACAAATTAATTATAGGTGGCACAATATTCCCACACTAACGCATACACAAACCTACTTGGGTCTCACCGGACCACACCACAGAGAATCAGACAGATCATATTTGTATCAATAAAAAATTCGCAAGGTCAATGGAAGATGTGAGAACCAGGAGAGGAGCTGACATAGCTTTTTATCACCACTTGGTTGTGGCCAAGATGAAACTGAAGTTAAGGAAGCATTAGACAGCTGAGGGAACAGCATTACAAAAGTTCAATACAGCCTTCCTTCGACATACTGATAAACTTAATGAATTTAAGATAACTCTCAACAACAGGTCCCAAGCCTTACAGGATCTACTGAAAGAAAAACAACAAGCTACTATGGAGGACGATTAGAAAGGGATCAAAGAAGCACTAACTTCAACATGTCAGGAGGTGCTCGTTCGCAAGAAACATCATAAGGAACGAATCACTATCGAAACCCCACACAAGATTCAAGAAGACAGAAATTAAGAGCAGCCGAACAAGAAACAGAGAGAGTTAAGACACAAGCTGAATACATAGAAGTAGACAAGCAAGTGAAGAAGATCATTAGAGTCGACAAGCAGAAATACGCGGAAGAACTAGCAACGAAAGTGTAAGAAGTTGCAAGAGAAGGTAATATGAAACAACCATATGACACAACGAAGAAACTAGCAGGGAGATATTGTAAACCAGAGAGACCGGTCAACGACAAAGAAGGCAAGCCAATCACTGACGTAAAGATAGAGATTGGCAAAACATGGAAAGGATTCCCACAACTGAAGAACATATGGAACTCAAAATAACAGTGAGCCAACATCAAAGTCAGAATCTTCAATCCGGACGTCAAAACAGCTCTACTGTAAGGGCTGAAACTTGGAGAACTACCACAACCATCATCAAAATGTACAAGTATTTATAAACAACTGTCTACGTAAGATACTGAATGCCTATTGGCAGGATACCATCAGCAACAGTCTACTGTGGGAGAGAACAAACCAACTTCCAACTGAGGAGGAAATCAGGAAAAGACGTCGGTGGTTGATAGGACACCCACTGAGGAAATCACCAAACTGCATCATTAAACAAGCACTAACTTGTAATCTTCAAAGGAAACGGAAAAGAGGATGGCCAAAGAACACACTGCTCCGAGAACTGGAAGCAGATATGAAAAGGATAAATAGAAATCGGAAAGGATTGCCCAGGACAGAGTTGGATGGAGAGTGCTGGTGGGCGGCTTGTGCTACTCCATGAGGGGTAACATGCTTTAGTATGTTACATGCAGTCTATTTAGATTGATTGATTCAACGGTGTTTCTGCTCTTCTCATGTGTTTGTAGGGATTTTACCGAATCATTATCCATTCACATGTTTTAAGTCAATATGTGATATGATTAACTTGGGAAATAAAATGCTGCACGGTGTGTGCGAAATAATTTCCTGTTTATATTACACATACAGTCATTCAATGTTCGTCTTTACTTATATAAATAAATGAAATGCTTGATATTGATTCTTTTCAGATTAAACGTGTTCACCTTTCTTCGTTTCCATTCACTGTGGAAAATGGTTTGCTCACCTCCAATTTGAAATTAGTGAGATCTCGACTACGGGAAACATTTTCAGATAAATTACATTTATTGTACGAAGAAGCGTGCTCATAATATAATATTACGCCTTTATTTCTACTGAAATCTGAAATATTTAGTGAGATTTATAGATAAATAAATATTTCTTTAGAAAATTCACATCCTTCGCACTAGCACTTTATATTCACTTCTATACAAATCATTATGAATTAACTACTTAAAGTTTTCCCATGTCTTTTGTTCCTTAATCCTGTAATGGATACGGTGAATATCATGCACCCATGTATTTTTGTTTGAATGAGATCCATGTTTTTCTGGTACTGAAATTTTGTGTGGAATATGTTTCAGTATGACTTATTTGTTTATTTTTATTCTTATATCAACGCTATTTGACGTCCGATGTAATATGAATTTATCGTAATATCACGTAGGTTATGTCCATTGGAGATGTGTCTTAGGGCCAAAAGATAATTATTCCTTTTCTCCATAAAGAACGTTTATTAGCTGTTTGTGCTCAAGCAGTTCTAATTTATGATTGGTTTCTAGATGTTGATCCTTTCCTAACCGGATAGTTTACTGTCTTTTATTTCCGAGCTCGTTTTTATCTGGCTTTCGAACAACGTGTTGACAAATCCGTCCTATGATTACAGCACACTGACACTAGTCACTCTTACCTAGTTTATGAGTCGCGCTTTCATACCATTGTGAAAATCACAGATTATTGTATGCAAAAAAAAATCAAGATGCTCTGTTATCCAGTCCTGATCCTCCAACCAACATTATATTTCTTCACTGGCATACTTTCGCAGTGATTGTTCCGTAATAATGGTATCATAAATACATAGAGAATTTGGATGATATGTATCAGAATTGATCTCAATGACATAGATGCATTAACTGTTTCACTTCTCTTAAATCTTGAGTTTTAAGGTTGGGTCGTTTTTTGATTTCTTCGATTTACTGTTTATGCCAAATTTTTGTGCTGCTGCTGGCATTGATGCCATAGACCATTAGTTATACTTAGATTGACTTTAGTTTTCCAAAACAATCAAAAACTCGTTATTGTCTGGGGAAAAATGAGTTCAGTTACATATTAACAGCGTACTAATCCTTTATTGTCCTTGATCCAAATAATTCTTGTTGAGTTATTCCGATATCGCTAAATCAAGTGCAGTTCGCGACGGTGCAATTGTTACAATTACTATCACCATACAATTTATTAATCAGTTAATGGGAAGTGATACTAACTAGAGACCATAGTAAAGGCTTTTATCGGATCCATGACCTATAAAGCTTTTAATCCCAAGCGCACCACATACTCCCAGGTATATTTAGTTGATGAATATCCACAAGCAAATAGACTTTACCTATGACTTTTTAAATGTTTGGGACGACCCAGTACTGAACCATGTGGCTTATAAGCTTTGAAATTGGCTTTTGATATCCTGTAGACAGGAAGTTGTTGATTATTGAACAAAAATATTGTCGCCTTCAAATTCCGCTCCCACTAGTAACATGATAATTATCAGTGGTATAAGTGTAACTTTAATTGACTATTGTTTGAATTTATCTCCAGTTGCTTTTATTTAACTGTGCAACATAAAATCTAATTCATTCGATTTACATACACTGAGGTTGGACCCACCTTACTCAAATATTAAACGGAATGATCAATATAGCCCTAGTTGTAACTTAATACTTCTTTTGATCACTGAATTTTAATAACGTACATAAACCTTCACTTGAAGCATACTGTACACATTTGATGTAGTGATTTAAATTCTCATTAAATCCAAAATCAACATTTCAACATGGCTGAATAAGAGTTCTGTGCGAAATTCTTTTTGGTCGTATTTACCTTTTACTATGACCTTGAAGACGTTCAAACCCACATTACCGGATAAAACGTTGAAATTACAGTTGCTTATGTTTCTAACTTCAGTGCTTTAGCTAGTAATTGTCTGATGCTCTGCAGTTCTTGATTTGTGTAATGAATTTGATGGTTTCTTCCATTGTTGGTCGGGTTCCAGGTATTAGCTTATATATATTTCTTTAAGCATTTTACGATAGCTCTCTGTGTGTTTAGGTAAGGGCTAAATGCTTGTATGCAATACTTCAGTTTTTATCAAGTGAACACCACAAAGTCAGGAATGGAAGCTCTGCGTAACGGCTATAAGTTTTCAAGACATTTACCATATATTGCATGGCAGTGCTCAGTAGTCTTCAAATATTGGGTGATATTGACTCCTGCATCATTTATTGTCTGAACAACGGGTAGCTCGACGTTGTTCGCTGTGTATGTATTTGTACCCTGGTGACCAATATACATCACAATACATTTGGAAACGTTTAGCTGCAAGTACCGAATTCTAAATCATTCAAATCGTTTCCATACGATTTTCTGTGGCTATGAACTGTCCTCTTAGTGTTATATCGCTCCCCGTATTTTGATATTCTCTGTGTGTAACAAGATCGATAATAATAGAAGGCTGAGAAGGTCATTTGCATATAGAGACAATAACGCTGGTCCCCAAACTACCATGGGAGATCCCACTAGGAACTTTTCATCCAGACAACTTGCGGTCAACAGATACCCTTTGTTGCTTTTGATTTTTGAGAACATACCAAATTTATTGTGCTTTTAGTTTTTCGAGATAATCATATTTTCATCTAGATAATTAAACTACTGTTTACGAATTCCGTTGTTTAAATTTTCTTATCTATATTTGTACTTGCTAGGTGACAGTTTTTAGGTTTATTGCCAATACTTTTTTATTCGGACTGAATTCTCAATGTGAGTTTTCCGGTCTCTCGGTAATCAGCGTTGTTATGGATGGTCTTACTCTTATGCCTTTAGATTTGGGGATAATGTGTCATAATCCATCTTGGTTTTTAATTTTCTTTTTATCTTGTTCTCAAATTCTCTACGTCGACTTCCTTAATCCGATGATATCCATTTATGGGTTATGGAAAATAATGTTCTTTATAGTAAGAACGGAACCTACACGATTTATAAATCCTCGAAAGGCTTTGATAGTACCTGGATGTTTATACTAATTTTCTCCTGTTTGTAACATAGTTGTCTCACCTCCTTACTATTGTGGCATGCTTTCTATTTTTCTTTACTCATGTTGTGTGGCACTTTGTAGGACTCCATAATGAACTTTTTGTTATACTGACATGTACATTTTCTTTATGCTAAGACAAAAGTACTTCTGGCTTTTCGTTATTGAGACTTGTTTCCATAAGCTCCTTATAAACCGTCTCTTGCTTCTTCTATCTGGTGGAAACGAGTAGAAGCCGCTTTGTTGAACTATGGCGTTCAGCTTTTTTATTTTGCGTGGTATCATTTGTCATGTATACTGTGATGGGTCTTGAAAGTACAACTTCCTTTGATCTTCAAAGCAACCTGTTCGGATTATTGCAGTTTGATTTATTAGTGTACTTCGTTTGTTAAGTGTTTAGTTTCTTTTTTATTTTCTATTATGATTGGGGTTAGTTCGTTGTTTACAGCAATATCTAAACGGAAAACTAATATCGCATGGTCATGCTCACCAGAGGCTGCAATGTGTTAATGATTTTAAGTATCTTCCTCATTATAACTTATAAGATCTAATAGTTGTGCACCAAATTAACGAGTATTGCCACAACTTGATTTGTAATATAATCATGTAACTCAGTTTCACTGACATCACTCAATTTTTTGTTGTGTTTTATATTTCTGACATTTCCGAATAGACAACTGTGAACGCATTATGAACCATCAAAACCTTTGGATATATGAAAAAGCACTACCTATCTTATTTTCCGTAGCTAATCCCTCAATCAAAACTAAAAGTAGCTATTCATAATTGGTTTCTTGACATCTCCGTAATGCTTTGTTATGATTTGACAATCACGTAATATGGTCGATTAAAGCCATGAAACTAAGCACTAAAGTAGTCAGTAACCTTGTTAATAACTATTTACACAAATGGGTTGGGAATTATACTTTCATGGGTTAGAACTCTCATGGTTTGCACTCACATTTATCGTTTTACGAACACCTAGTTAACTGAAGATATCGTTCAGTACACTACTTGTGTACTGCAAACACGAGAAAATCAGGTTGGCTTCAGACATGGTCGTGGCTGCATCGACCACATATTTACTATACGTCAAGTTTGTGAACACAGCCAGCGCATGCGTTCTTGTAAACTCACATTAGGGTACACGTATCGCTTACCGCCTGTGTGTCGAAAACTGATTCATGCAGTTGGGAGTTTCAGGTAGAACTCTAACTTTTGCACCACCATCGACGCAGTAAGGAACTTCCGTCATCACATCAGTGATGTTTAACAGACGGTTATGTCCGGTGACTACTGTTGCTGCATCTGATAGTATAGAGAGAATTTTTGTACCGAGCTTCTTCAAGGAGTTTAGGAGCGTCTTCGATTATGAAGAATATAAGAATACAAGTGAGAAAACTACAGAGATCTGCGACGTCTTTTGGTAGGCCAAATCTGGGCGTTGGGGTTCTGAAGGTCTACATAATTCGGTCGTCAGATGTAGTCAGTCCGTCTACGGAGCTATTTTGAAACGAGACAAACAATACCTCCACCTGTTGGGGAAGCCTAATCAAGAAGACCTCTCTAAACAGGCTCTTGCCAAAGGTCAGTTGACTTGTAGAATTATGGTCTACTATAACATTAGTACTGCTCTAATAATAGACCTAATCCTAAATTTGTAGATTTGTCATGATATAACTGCCTAAGCTATAAGATCTTACGTGGAAGTCACACCTCGACTACACCAACTCACTGTATCGTATCAATTGCCAATACATGATGTAGAACAAGGTTAGGCTAGAGAAGGAACAATATATTTAATACGAATAGAAGATATAAGGTAACATTCAGCAGAGACCACGCCTGCATGGCCGAGCCATGCCACTCGATCAACTCCAGTCCATTCAATTCATTGTTCGCGCCTTCTCCATTGTTAGGTATTTCTCCGCGTTAAATATTGAATATCTATTTTCTGAGTAGTCTCGTATTCACAGCTTTGTGGATTGTGTGGCTATTGTCCAATGTTACTTCAGACTAATGAGATTTTACATTCGTGGTAACATTTCTGTTTCTTAGCCATGTTGTAGATCGCTGTTGTTGAAGAGTTGACCTAATCTATATCAGTCGGTTGGATCTCCACGCTTAGAAATAGGCTTTTCAAAGCTTCTTAAGTTTCCAAAACATCACTGTTGAACATACTAGGCGTGACGCACCTGGTGAAATCGCGCTGTAATACTTTGAATACTTCGAGGAATTGTGGGCACGAGTCTGTCATGCCGTGCTCTTGAAAGCAAACTTCCGCGTAGCAT